TGAGAAGGATGTAGTTTAGAGGCAAAGGGGGTGGGGGGGGTCTACAACATTAGGAGGAAAAGGAAAAAAATTGAGATTATGACAGATCATTTGGTAAACAAATAAAAACGGAGCGAAAAGAATGAAAGATAAAGAGAAGATTTTTAAAAATTGAGGAAATGCAGACACAAAGAGGGGAAAGAAAGTGGCTCAGGAAGAAAAAAAGAAGGGAATAGAGAGAAGGAAAACTGCAAATAGATGAATGGAAAGAAGAATTAGAGCAGTAATTCAATTATTGGGTGCTTATTTATCTTTAGGGGCCGGGGAGAATTGCCATTAGTGGAAATCTAAGCCGGTGTGATGACACATGAGAAATGATAGTTGGCTAATGCTTGATAGCAGAATGAGAAGCTCCTAAATGAGTAAAGCATGTTCCTCCATATGGAATACATCAACACAATGTAGACACTCTGAGGTGCGAAACGAAGCTCTTCCGGATCAAAGACACCAAAGGCCAATAGGTTAAATCTCAAACTCGGTATCAGTTTTGTGTTTGACGTTCACTCCTAAATGTTCTCTCAACAGCCATTAACTCATTTCATCATGTAGCAGCAGGCAAACGTCTCAAAACGGCATTTTTCTCTGTCCCTTCATCAGTTTCGACAGCTAGCTCGCAACACACATGGTTAAAAATCAACCAGCAAAGTGACAAAACCCGTTAATGTCCAATGGGAGTTGTGCGTAGCCTGTGTCTTATGAAGTCATACAGGACAGACAGAAACCACCAATCAGGAGAAGGTCCATGCTGCCTTCTGTCCCGAGCTGAAGTTGAGGCACGAATTCCTCTTGTTTCAGCCACTTTCGAACTCGCACATTTCTATAAACAAGCACACAAGCTAAATGAAATGAACGGAAATACAAAAAAACCTTATGCCATATCAGCTAATTCGTCTTTTTTTGTGTCTAAATGCTCTCATTGAAAAGAATAGTCACAATCAGTCCCCTCAAAAACATCTGAACAGTGAAAAATGCCATAAACGTGACACACCATCCTTAAGAAAAACACTTTGTCTAACCGATATCGTAACGGATTTTCAGAAATGCTTGCAATGTGTACTGCGAGACAAAGGTCGAAGTGTGTGGAATGTGGCGTTTTAGGAGATGTCAGTAACATCCAAATGTTCTTGTCGTGTCCAATTATGTAAGAGAGCGTTTGTGTGTGCTCGTATCTGGACTTGAGGGTTTGCTCTGCTCTGAGTTCAGCATGTGTGTGCGTGTTGCCTCTGGGAGAGCAGGGTTCACGTCCACGGTCTGTTCCCCATTATGTCCTTATTAATGTTCCCATAGCTCCGTGTTTCACTTATTTATGGGAGGCTATTTACGTAAGGTATAGAAAAAAGAAGGACAGAAGGACAGAGTTTGTGAATGGTGATAAATAGTAAGTCAGTACTGAGATGCTGAATGCTCAGATGTATAGCCCAAAGGATTTCCATCTCATTAGAATATTCAAAATAGCATATCATTTTGAACAGTTGTATTTAAAATGTTTTTGAAGTACTTATCTAAGTGATGTTTTAACACGTTTTTGGCCATCAAAAACCCATCTGAGTTGCTGGGCGCCACCCTCCGGGCTTTCTTCCTCAGCAGTTTCGGTGTTTCATCTCACAGTGCTGCTTTGTATCGAGCAGTGAGGGCAGAGACCTTCCCGTCTCCCCACCGTGGGATAGGATGCAGAGACGCTCCCATTCTGGGCAGCTCCTCAAAATAGATCAATAAATAGACGCACTTCTTCTTTTTTTTTTTTTTGCTTCCATGTGCACACAGAGTGCAGAAATTGAACATCACTTGCAAACGACTAATAATGAGTAAGCTTCAAAAATATCATGACGAGGTAAATTCCATCACGTGAGACAGACATTCATGATAAGCCAAGCAAAATAAAGTCTTGTGCAACCTCTCTGTCCTGGAGTGTGAAAAGTGGTAGCAGGAAATGTAGGTCACATTTGCCCTCCTTGACATTTCATCTTTTGAATTGAGGTGACTACATATGTCTTCACCATGTGTGTCACTATGTTAGTGATGGTGCTTTTTAGAATATACAACTTCACAATCTTATGAACGTTACTCAGGACATTTCTAACTTCTTTAACAATTTCCTCTTTGAGGATATCCTCTCAGTCATTTATAGCCTGTACCGTGATCCCTCCAGTTTTAGCTTCCCTGGCTTTTAAACACTTACAGGCTCATTTTAATGAAGATTTGTGAATCAAATACTTTTTTCCTTTCTAAATGCAGGTTTGATTCTATCCCTTCTAAATAATCTGCAGCATTAGGAAATCAAATGCATCTCATTAACCTCTAAAATAAGCTCCTGTGACATTATGCTGTGTAAGGTCTGAGTTTTTCAAGAAACCGAGAGTCAGTGGGGGGTGGGGAGGTTAGATTTTCATGCATTCCCAAATTTTCCAAGCCTGCTTCAGAGCTGTGTTTATTTACTTTCTCCCAGTGACTTTCCACTTCTGCAGTCTCTCCTCCCTTCATGTGACATTTTTTTTATGCCTCCATGGCAAAACAGATTTTATTTTCTGTATAGAGAATTAACTCCTGTGTAAATGAAAAACGAAGATATAAAATCAAAGAAGTCTTTGCTGGCCTGTTGCGTGGTACAGCGCATTTGAATTGATATTGGAATAGTCTTAAAAGACATATAGTGTCAGTAGACATATATCCTCTCCCTGAATTTACAGAGGAAATGAAAGAACCTGAGGGTGTAGCCTTTGAGATCACAGCTTCACAAAAGCATAATTTCCTTCCTCAATTTGTGGGAAAATCAAGACACATTCTGGTTTGTACTTTTGGCCTCTTCCAAAAAGCTGTTGTTACCTTTGGACAATCCTATATTGGTTATTGCAATAAATAACCAATACATATGGATGCATTTGTATCAAATCGGACCTGTCCAAAGTTTTAAAACATGGTTGAATAATCTTGTTCATAATCTTGGCTGATGGATTTCTAAATGTTTCCTGAATGGGTTTTGTGCTCAGTCTCGTCCTGTTCAAATTTACAATGTCTCGCAAATAGTTCACATAGTTTCTCTGATAGGCTGCGGATAGCTAGAGAAATTAATTCCAACTCTGGAGGGTCTGCTCGCATAGCTGGGGAGTGAGATCGGGCCCTCGCTGCAGCTGCCGCCTGCAGAATACTAACAGATAACAGTCCCGCCTGTCAGCCCTGTCTCTCGCAGCTCCGCTTGCCCAATGTCTAATCCAGTTTTGCTTTCATCATCTCAAGAGGCTTGTAATCATGACAAAATAGCAAGTATTGACTGAGTTCCCAATAGCGAAACTTGACATTCACGAGTAATGAATCAGAGACCATGCTGTGCTCTCACGCTTCATTGTGTCAGAAATAAAATGATGCAATGTATTCTTTTTAGTGATCTCGAACAGGAAAAGTATTTGGGTTGGAATGATGTACCAATACAAACTAGAATTTTACAGTTAAGATGTGATCACCTCCATCTGAGGACCCCTGAACTGGACTAAATGTGCCATAAACTAACTGATTTTAACATTAGTAAGCCCTGTTAAATAAGGGTTTTCTGAAAGAAGTCAAAGATAATTTTCCATTACTGTAAGTGTACTGTATGGGTGGCTATTAATATTGGATGCTATTCATAATAAGCGCATGCTGGAGACATATAATGCTTGTAAAGCATTTCAACCGACCAATGAAAAGAAGAAGAATCAACAGTAACAGTTATGGCAATCTTCGCTGAGAAACTTTAAAAGCAAGATGTATGTGCAAATAATAAAAAGTTAAAATGACCTCAAGTCCCTCCTGTTTGTGTGCTAAATGAATTTTTACTGAAAGAAGCTCAAAGATTAAAAAGATTGTCTTCAGTGAATGGTGAAAGGCTTAACAGAATGCAGCGAAATGAACCATTTTTTGTATGTATATTTATATTTTTACATAAATTCAAACAATATTCCCCCATGTTTAATGTTTGAGTCCACCATATTATGATGAATCATCATTTAATAAGACGTCCTTGTACAAATTTTTTTTTCAAACTTCAAACTTTGTCCAGTTCCTATCAGTAAATACTTACTCCCTGACCATAATGTGTTTCATTACCACAGGTCCATTCCTAAATGCACCCTCATTTTGAAAATTCAGTTCTTTCGTAGTTCTATTATAGCACTTTGCACACACTTAGTGGTATTTAAAATGTTTTGAATGCGGTCGTAGAGCAACAACACGTGCTTTGCGGTGGAGGGCGATGATTGTCAAGAAGTGGTTGTGAGCTAGATGCATTTCAGAGGTAGTGTGGTTCCACCTTTTTGGTACATTATCCAGACATTGTTTTAGGCTTGGAAAAAAGAGGTTAATCTCACTTGGTTCTGTTTGACATCTTTGCCGGTTTCTAGTGAAACTGACACGTGGGAGACCAAGCGCTTAGTCAGCAGTAGTGAAAAGGATTTATTACATGAGTCATCACAGACAGCGTGACTCAGCAAAAGATGTGCCATTACTTTTCAAATTTAGCTCATGAATCACGAGGTTCAAAGTCCTGATATTTGACGCCGGGCGACTTCTAAGAACGCCAGACCGGCGTCACATCTCACCGTGCACATGCCTCATCAGGCTGAGTAATAAACAGAGGAAAGCACGAGCATGACCAACGGTGAGTAGCCTGCTGCTAAGTGAAGGAAACAGTTGTATAACTGGACATCAAGTTCTTTAGTCAGGGTTAGAACTGATTTGGAAGTTTTCATTAATGTGCCTCTCTGTTTACAACTGTCCGTGGGCTTTTAGAATGGACAATGCAACACATTTAATTGAAATTCTTGGGTTTCTTTGGCCCCATTAGGGAATAAGGGGTTACGATAATGGATTGATGAGTGGTTTCTTTGGGTGGTTGGTCAAGCTTTCTTGCGGCCTTACCAGTCATACATGACCATAATTTCTTTCAGATGAAAAGTATGAATAAGTCATATGTACCTTTTGTCTCTCAGGGGCCTTCATCATCTGCTGGACTCCCGGCCTGGTCATCCTGCTCCTTGACGTCTTCTGCGCCAACTGCAACGTCCTGACCTACGAGAAGTTCTTCCTGCTCCTCGCCGAGTTCAACTCGGCCATGAACCCCATCATCTACTCCTACCGGGACAAGGAGATGAGCGCCACCTTCAGGCAGATCCTGTGCTGCCAGCGGCAGGAGAACGTCAACGGGACGGTGGCCGAGGGATCCGACCGGTCAGCGTCCTCCATCAACCACACGGTGCTGGGCGCCAGCGCCGCGCACCACCACCACCACCACCACAACGAACACTCCGTAGTATAAAAAGCAGAGAAGAAACAGGAGCAAGGAGAAGGCTGGCGTTTTTGAGATACTGACTGAGAAAAGGTAAAAGTCAAGGTGTTAAGTACATGAGGGACTAAGAATATGACATGGACAACAGGACGTGGAGTATAATTGAGATGAAGGTGAACGATGAGAAGGATGGCGATCAGAGTGAAGAAGAAGAAGAAGAAGATGAAGAAGAAGAAGGCAACTGCGATGTAAGATGAAAAGACTTCATTTGATTCCGCGTTTGACAGAGAAGAAGAATCAGATCTCTGACAGACTGTTAGTATTTCTGTTTAGTTTATTGTTTTCTATTTGTTTTTTTTTTTGTGTTTTGTTTTTTTTACAGTTAGAGATGTTAAGAACTATTTAAAAGTGATCTGTGAAATTAAGGTAAATGCCAGTATAACCCATCCTTTTTCAACACTCCGGTCCATCTTGACTTTTCGGCTGTGTCTCCTCTTGGTCCCCCTCATGGACACAGATCTCGTGCATGTTGTGGGTACAAGCGACATTACACTAACTCCTGCGTTCAGTTCTCTTTGTTTCAGACGCTCTCCAGTGTTAGTTGGTCTGTTTTAGGTCAAATTTGCAGGTTTTGTGCATTTCGCTTTCTTTCCTTTCCGTTATTATGTGGACGGAACAACTTAAAAGCTATGGAATTGTCTTTGGGCAAATCAAGTCAAGTTTTCTTGTTAGCTTTTGGATCTAATCCAACGTTGTTGTTTCTTTGTTAGGTTTTTTTTGTTCATATGTATACTTAAACCTCAATGAAAAGCCACTTTTTAAACATGTGTAAATTATCTTTTTTTAACAGTATTTTAGCGATCTCACAGCTGAACTACTTAACTACTCGGTGGATGTATTAATCTTCTGACCAAACCCTCCCCTCATTGTGCCTTTGTATTCTTGTTTTCATCCAATCTAAAAGATATGAACTTTAGGTTGCTTGTTCCTTCGAAGGACTTCTAAACAAGCTGGTCTGAGATCTCAAGAAAGACAGGAGTACTTATAAACAGCCTTGCAGAGCTTTGAAGAGACAGGATCATAGCTTTTGAGCATTAATGATCTTCGCATTGCAGCACATAATTGCCTCTGGTGACTGTGCCTCGCCCACAGAGCTAACCAGAAAGCAGGAAAGGTAGAGAACATGAAGGTTTCAGCCGGTACTGATAGAGGACAGCTTCCTGCCGCTTTGCGGTAGGGATGCTGAAAGTTAGATTAAATTAAGTGAAAGATCAAAAGACGCTCTTCCAAGAGATGAGGTTATTCCTTTTTTTTAGAGTCAACATGGGGATATATATTTGGTATATATAAACACAAGATTCCATTTTCGATTGATACGTCCGTTAATGCAACATAATCTGCCAGCTAATCAAAACTGAAGTCCAAACAGAGAGACAGCAAATATGCAGGAATTTCGCGTTGTCACTGAGTGACTTTTAGATCCTGCTGTTGGATAAAATTTTTTTTAAAGTGGGAACATTTAGTTTTAGAGCAACCCTGATTACTAGTCGAGTCTACGTCTATGGTAGCGTCTCTCCTTCAGGTACAGCAGTACCACCACGTCCATTCCAGGAGAAACGCTGAAAGGACCCAAGTTCTTTGCAGTTGGTCAGTGGAACAAAACGATGTCAGATCGGAACAAAAGCTATTGCTCAGGTTCATTTCACCTGTCGTGCTTTCAGGGAGTCAAGGGCTAATACACTACAGCCTAGAGGGAGGATACTGTAATGTCAGTGCCTCGCCTGTAGTAGACAGCTGTCACAGCGTTGTAAGATCAGAGAAGCAGAGGTTCTGATGGGGCTGTCAGGCTAGACTGTCAAAAAAAGGTACAGGAAACGTCAAAGTTTGTAGTTTTTGATAATGAAAAGAGAGTATAAACAAATAAAAGAACCACGGTCAATCCAACCATCAACATTTTTTAAAATGATTTGATTTCACTCTCCTTATTTGGCCTTTGTTTGCAGTTAGCTCGACTTCCTGTCAGAATTCCTTGCTGCTTTTTCAAATCGGAGGCTGTTTGACACCTGTCTAAGCCAGTAAATCCCGCAACCTTTACTTACAAAAGAAACTAAGCTGAATGTCTCTTTCATTATGGAAAAAAACAGTTAGTGCATCAATGTTCTTGTTGATGTGTAGTTTTTGAGACGTATGAGTGCAAAATAATATGGTGTTAATCGTCCCCATATGAAACATTTGAGGGAAGTAATAACGCTCTTCTTTACCAAGTCACCACAAGAAGAACTTTTGGTTGTGAACTCTTATTTGCCCTAGTATGCTGATAAAAAAACAAAAGTGACGCTTAGCAGCTCCCATTTTACATCATAAAGAACTTTAAAAAGTGGGGCACATAGGGTCTCATCAGTAATTGTCTTTATTGGGAAATTCTGGCCACACACAACCTGGTTCTCTGCTTATTTACTGCATGTAAAATGACTCAGGTATGACTGCTTTTATTTGTGCTGTGGAATGTACTACTTGGGAAATATTTGAGATTTCTATTATTTTTTTCTCATTACGTTTTTATCGTGATCAGTGCTCCCTTTGTTAGCGTTTCCATTGGTGTCCGGCACCTTAGAATAAATCGTACAATTATTTTTTTTTAAAAGTGGGGCAAAATGTTCAAAGTAAAACCGGAGGTGTTTGGCTACACAGACAGTGGGAACCGCTGGTAGAACGAACTCAGAAAAACGACTGCAATTCTTACAACAAAGAATAATAAGACTGTTGTTCAATAGTTTTACTGCACATGTGTTCTAGAGCACAAATAAAAGTCTGTAAACCCTAATGGGAAGGTGCCTCGTGGCCAGCTGCGGCCTCACCGCTTTTAGTTTAGACTGTGTGACTCTCGACTTTTGGGGAAATTTGGGGAAATTTCCTTTATAGTTGTCTCAGACCATGGTGGGCGATGTCCAAAAAGACCTCAGTGAACATAGTTTTTGCTTTGAATTTAAAGTCACTGTGGCCACATGGGCACTGCGCTTTCGTCCAAATGCTGGGATTTAAACACTTTGTGCCAGAACAACAGCTAGTGAGTCCTTTAACTTTTAACTGACCAACGGTCTAACTTCATCGCTAAATTCCGGACTGTGACCACGTCTTGAGAGCTCCTCTGGTCTTCAGGAGGAACTCCAGACCGACAGCTAAGAATCACTGCCAAAGGTGTCCTTCAATATTTGCGTCTGCGTGACGTTGGTAAAGCTGTACCGCTAACAGGAAGTTACCGTAACTTATCTTGGTCCAGAGTTCGGAGGTTGGCTTCCATTTTCCATTTGTTTTGCTTTTTGCTACACATGAAGGACTTCACTGTTGATAGTGACGAGGGAATTTCTATCAAACCCGTGTAAAGTCTCTGTTTTGGTGACCTTCGTCTCTGACAGTGCCTTAAAATAAAAATTAAAAAAACGTTTAAGATTTCAGAATTCTGAGGAAACAATCTATCATAAATTCCAGCCCACTCTGCCCTCCATACCAACTTATTATCACCTGTTAACCTGTTTGAATGACCAAAGCTTGACCAAGTACGACTTTGGGCCCTGTCTCCACGTTTGAGATTCACTGTAACCTTTTCGCTAACTAAGCATTGATTCAGGTTGTTATAGCAAACCAACTAAACCTTCTATAGTTCGTTTACCAGTGTGTCTTTGTATACCATTGTATGTGTATGTGTACAGTATGTATATATATATTATACAAATATATATTATTCAAAGTTAATCACCAAAGGGAAAGTGCTTGTCTGTGAATTTAATTCATATTCAAATGTACTGTAGGATTGTTTATGATTTCTATGCCATGTGTATTGTGCCCTTAACTAATTCATTTCCTTTAGGCAATCATTCTTTTTAACCAGTTTGTTACTCACGTGTAGATGTCTGTGTGCAGTGCCATCCATTACTCTTTACTAAACTGTAACTTATCACCAGTCTAAAAAAACACTCATTGTCTCAGCTCCAAACACTTCCAGCAGTTTTTACCTGTAACTTCACCCAAGTGCGGCCTCACAAATGAGCAAGGGTAGAGATGGAATGAAACCATAAGCGTAAACAACATCCTCCCGTCCACTTCCAGTAACACAGTTTGATGTCGGTGTTAGAATAATAACGCAACGCTGTCAGATATATTGTTTTTTTATACACAGTTCCATAGCCGTCCTCTTTCCCACGGGTGACCAGCGTTGTCTCCCCAGAGAAAGGTTTTACACTATCTGTCCAGATTAGCACATTTTGTGTATAGTACCCTCTTGTGCTTCTTATTTTGTCTCGATGGTGCTTCCAGTTTTTTTGTTTTTTTTCTCCTGTGGCCTTCAGCTGTCGTTGCATTGCAAAGTCAGCGTGTGCCCCAGTTAGGAGCTCCAATCCATTTAACACCAAATAGGGTCTGAGCGCATTCCTCCATAAAGGCAACCATTGGTTACGAGTCCATCCAAAATCCAGATCATCCACGAAGACTGTTTTCAGACGCTAATTGTGACGCAAGAATCAATGTGATTTCCAATGCTATCTATGCTTAGGTCAATACAAATGAATGTCCATCCAGTCATAGTGTTGATATTCCAACAATAAAAAGATCAGAAATGTCTCAGTTCGTGTGTGTGTGCATGTGCTTCTGTTTTTTCAGAAATGTGCTGAAATGCATAAAGGATAACATTGTGTTTAGTCTTGCCATGGTCGTTCCTTTCTGTTATCCGCTGTGTGTTTCTGTTTCCATGACATCAAGAGAGCAGGAGCACGCAGGGTCACAGGCTCAGTACGACACGGAACCCTGAGCCTGTTCACACATTTTCAACAGCCTTGACTGTCAGCAGAAATCTCGCTGTGACCGTGTGTGTTTGTTTTTGTGTGAGAGGAACACATTTTCTTCCCAGTCCGGCTTGGCTGTAACTCTTTCTCCGGGCTGAGCAGCTTAGCGGGCCGGAGACAGACGCTAGTTCACCGTGCTCGTTTATGTCGTCTCTGGGGTTCCTGGACTTGGCTCGCATGAGTGATTCGCTTGAGAAAGTCGGTGAAAAATCCTTTCGGAGAAAACATGAGACTTGCTTGATGCAATTATTCAGAGCTGCATGGGATGCATTTTCATATTTTGGGAACGAATCGAGAGCTACTAAGTTTCGAATGAGCACAAGTTAGATGCATAGATGGTTAAATAAAGTGATAGTAAGTGTTTTTTTTTAACAATACTAGATAATATTGTATGTAAGACCTACAGCAGAATGGCAAAATGCTTTCACTCGGCTCTTTAGCCCTGGGTGAGGGGCTCTGGTAGCACCTGGTAAAACAATCCAAAAATGGATGCCCAAATGTGAATAGTCTGAGTGTGAACAGACCCAGAAATCACTATTATTTGTATTTTACATTAACAGATACAGTAGTAGTTTAATGAGGGGAAACGTGGGGGTGGACCAGGGTGCCTGTTGCTCACTATTACCAGTAGCTGGTGGCTTATTGTGTCAGAAACAGCCAGCTACAGAAAACATGGACTCAGAGGGTCAATTGGTCATAGTTTGGTCATAGTTATAATTACAGTGTTAAGGACAAATGAATTCAATTTTAAGCATAAGAACCCTGAATGTTGTCTCACAGAGATATTTTCAGGTCGGGAGGCACCAGAAGCCAGAAGTACTTATGACCTGAGATAATGTTGATTGGTTTTCTTATCACGTTTTTTTTATTTTATTACTTCCTTGCATGCTCTGCTCTTTCCACCCACCTGCCTCTAGTCATTTAGAGGCCATAATGATTCTTGTAGTTTATCCACCAGACCCTGCATACTGATTATTGGATTATTTATTGTATTTCTTTGGTTTAATTATTTGTATTTGTAATTAGATATGAACCTAAAACAGCTCCACTGAGTGCTTCATGTGCTCAAGTATCCCGACTTACTCACTATTGCAAATGAAGTAGCCGTCCTTGTGAAAGTAGGCAAATATTTTTGTAGGAAAGAATGCTTGTGTGCAGTCTCCTGTTTATCCTTCCACAGTTTTTGGAGTGCCTGCCTCCAGCTGATTGATATATGTCTCATTACTTCCTGTTTCTCCCTGAGCGGACCAATCAGAGCCGGCGCCGTGGCTTCCCGTGTGCGGCTGCTGAGTGAAGGGGATGTCACAGCTTCATCACAACATCAACGCAGACATTTTCCGCCGTTCCAATCCTGGTTCAATGACCCACTGAACGCCCCACAGTCCAAAGGCCGGCTTTCGATTTGAATGAATGAAGCATTTGGTTGATTTAGATGACGCCAATACAGAAAAAAAGAAAGGATATCTGAGCTGAGTTCATCTAAAAAAAATGGGAAACATTCCATTTTCCTTTGTCATGCTGGAATTAATCTCTTGGCTTCAAAGATGTTAGGAATCAGGGGAGATTATTGCAAATTAAAAGAAAATAGGAATAAAAAAAATAGAAAAACAGGAAGTGATTCTTCACAGTAACGATATGCAGCTGCCAATGTCCAAGCTGCTGCTGCAGAGTTGGCAGGAAGGTTAGCGGGCTCGTTCCGATGAAATCTTTGGAGAGGGTGCAATCGCTTAATTCTCTGTGAACGAGTGGTACTTCCCAGTATCTGCAGCTGCGAGAGAGCGAAACACGCGAAGGACAACAACCAGTGGAGACAGAAGAAGGAACGGCTATCAACAGATAAGATACCGAGCTCGTGCAAAGCACGGAAAGAATGGCAAATGTCGATAAAACACTCAAGTAGAAGATGTTTTCAACCAAAGAAATAATAATGATAATAATGGAAACTTTTTGGTATGCTTTATTTTAGATGGCAGCTTCACTGGAGCACCATGTGTTTCTTACTTGATCAGAAAATCTGAGCTCCATTGACAACATCCTAAATTATCAAGCAAACAAAGCAAACAAAACAATTTATGATGTATGTGTTGTTTTGAGACTTAAGCTGCCATAGATGATAAAAAAATTTGAATATTGCTTGTTGAGAAGAAGAAGAAGGAAAGGAAAAGGAATAAAACGAAAAGAAGCGCAGCCTCCGACGTGGTCCAGACATAGAAATGTAGGAGTTGCAGAGTGAGGCGACACGGGAGGAAGTGGGAGAGGGAGAGTCTGAGCAACAGTTTAGATCAAGCAGAAGAGGGACGACCAGCCCAAGGCCAAACTCCATGCTACCTTCTCTAAACAGTTTACTCTGTACGACCCCAAAACACACACACAGCCACACAAGCACATCTCCTTCATAAAAGCTCGCTCACGCACTGACAAACACACTCAGTCAGGCTGACGGTGATGTAAAACCAGCACGAGTAACACTTACAGATTGTTCTCAGCTCTGCACACATGAGTTCACTGTGTAATACTCAGCAGGCCTCTTTTTTTTTTTTTTTCTCCTGCAATCCACCTCTCCGATCCCTCCTGTGGTAAGAAAAATCATTGCAATGCTCACATGGTAAAACACTTACTGCACTTTGGGAGCAAAGAAAAAGACATTTCAAAACAGAGAAAAAAGAGAGATTTGAACTTTGAGTTGAGGTTCCCGTAAGCCACGGTGTAATTTTCCTTATTGCCGTCAATATATTAATGCATCAAACATATCTCGATCAGTGTGGGGCATTTGGAACGAACTTTTTTGGTCCCCAACTCGTGTTTTTGTTTTTTCAGTGACGTTTATTGAACATTTGGCGGTTTACTGAGGGGATCGGATATCAGTTTCGGCAGAATAAATCTCAGGATGTAATGAATGGTTTCAAAGAAGATTTAACGAGCATTTCTAGATTTATCCTGGCACGCTTTTCATGAGTCTTCCATGACCCCAGAAGGAAAAAAAAGAGAAATAATAGTGATGATAAACAGCACAATTAGCAATCAAGATCTTTACCTCTAAGAGGTAAAATGAAAGTCAAAAACCTTTGTCTGACAGTAATTTCCTGCAAGATAAACTTTTCCCAATTGCTTTCTTTTCATGTGCTAGTTGAGCAGCCTTTTGACCCGATCCAACCCGTTATCAACAGCCTCCGGCTGTTAATTTGAACTAATTTCTATGATTCATCATCAGGCAAGTATCCACACAGCAAATTGGTGAATTAGGTAAACCTGATACCCACAAAACACGAGCAAAAGACAAATGACTTGGTTTCATAAACACAAAACTTTTCCGCCGGATCAAAACTCCAGAATTTTTTTATTTTGTTTTTGTTTTACCTGTGAAAACTACAAACAGTAACAAATGTTTATGTCATGTCTCAAATAAGGAAAGCTGTCATATCACACCACATTTTAAAATAAAGAAATACATATTATCGATCAGGTACTCATCCTGTGATATTGTCGTGTTTAGTGATTTATTACCAATGTTTCAAAGCTAAATTAATTTCTACTCAGGTTCGCAAATTTGTGAAATTGCATTGCCATTACAGAAAATATATCTATTTGGGCCAGATGAGGATGACCATGAACTTCCAACAAAAGCCAGCCACAAACATCTACTGCATCACGGTAAGAGAAAAAAAAAGAGAAGAACAGAAGAGAATGCCCAAGAAATGGAATATATACATAATCAAAAGCCATCATTTAAAGTGATTGAGTGCCAATGTGGAATTAGCTAGAGCAGACTCAAAATCAAGTTTATTTGTTTTGTTGTTTTCTTTTGAAAAAAAGCATTTATGAGTCAGTACCAACTATCACCAGTTTCTTTTTCAGAAAATCCCCCCTTTTCTGCAACCAGTAAAAAACATGGCAACATTGTCCCTGATGTTTCAGAAGTTGAAAATGAAAATGTAGAAAGGGTCAGGTCAACGCAGGGCATCACACACACAGTTTACAGACTGCAAAGCTATGGTAGATTTACTCAATTTTGCTTCAAGTCTTTAAAGCAGGGGTAGGGAGTATTTTTTTATACACTTATAGACAAATGAACATTTCTGAATACTGGATTCACAGCAAGAAAGTTCTACAAGGAGAGATCTTTTTTAAATCAGCAAATACAGAGATGATTCAGAGCTCACCTTTCATCTGTTGACTGCTGAGCTGCTGTGATCGTAAATTTACCATCAAATTAGGTAAAACTATTGCAAATGTTTTAATTACTGCTGACAAAATCCAGAATAGTGCACGGTTTGGGTAATCTTTCGATTTATGGTTGATCTCAAAGCAAAGAGATTATTTATTGTTAAAATAATGCAATACCAAGTTCATTTTTATATTGTGTAAAATTATGCAAGTGTAAATCAGGTAAAGGTTGTGTTTATGGTTTGTCTCATTTTTCAGAGTAATCTGACTTCCTCTTAAGTCATTTGGGACGGTCTTGGGCTTGACTCTAAACTTTAAGTGAACGTAACAGCTTGCAAGATTGTTGTCACGAGTCTCAACAGGGTGAAATGGATCACGACCAAACCTCATCAGCTGCCTATCCCCGCTTTAGAGAAAAGGTATCTGTTTCAGGAGCTATTATGTACATGATGTTTTCCATTTTTACAGCAGACCTGTCTGTATGGTGGACAGCTCCTGGTATACATAAAAAACGAAGGTCCTAAAGGGTAAAATGATTACAACACAAATGACTAAAAATACAGAAAATCATGTATAAAAAGGAAGAGGAACACAGTTCAATAGGATACTGAGTACAGAAGGTGGGCTTGTGCTCAGCGTGTCTTTAGGTTTCCAGACATCAAATTGGAGCAGAGGTTCAGATTTGTCTGCTCTGGGACGACAGATTTGGCAAAAGTTAGTACTCAGCCTCGGTGTCCACATTGGAGTTCAGCTTGTTTTGATGCATTCTCTCCAGTATCCGGTGGATGCTGCTGAAGCTCGGCCGGTCCGTCGGGTGCGTGCTCCAGCAAAGCCTCATCAGATTGTACAGCTCCAGGGGGCAGTTCTCAGGACAGCAAAGGATGTGACCGTCCCTCACATAGTAAATGACCTCCTCGTGACCCATACCATAATACGGCTGCATTCCGTGCGAGAAGATTTCCCACAAAACCACTCCGTAGGCCCAAACATCCGACTCCGTCGTGTAGCGGTTGTAGAAAATGGACTCGGGAGGCATCCACCGAATGGGGATGGCGTCGTTCTCGTTGGCTTTGTAGTAGTCGGCGGAGTAGATGTTTCTAGAGAGGCCGAAATCGGCAATCTTCACGACCATTTCCTCTCCGACAAGACAGTTGCGGGTTGCCAGGTCGCGGTGGACAAACTTGCGCTCCGACAGGTAGGCCATCCCTCCGGCTATTTGCTTGGAGATGGACAGCTGCTCCTCGCAGGAGAGAGCCCCGGCGTCCAGGTCGGAGGAGAAGCTGCGGCCGGACAGGCTGGCCCGGCTGAGGGTGCGGACTGACCGGGAGGGCGAGCGGCGGCGCAGGAACTCGTTCAGGTCGCCGTGGGCCATGTACTCGAACATCAGACACATCGGCTTACCCACAGCGCAGACACCTGAAAGCAGGATGGGAAACCACTTTAGGAACTCAGGCAGGGGAAACGTGAGGACAAAATCCCACCACCACAAACATTCTTTTGACATTTTTTGTTTGTTTTTAGCAGGCCCTCTTTGGCATATCTATGATTTTGACCTAACATACTACAGCATAACTTAGCCTGCAATTCTCTTAGCTTGCATTTGCTGCCGAGGTGAAACGAGGATGAAGAAAGCTGGAAGGATTTAGGCTCCCCATCATTGGGAGCTCAGGTGTTATAAAGAGAGCACACTAATATCCACTTTGCATTCTGGGAGTGGAAAGTTTTGATTTAGGTAAATCTTATATTCAGCAGGAATTAGAGCGCACACTATTTTTACTGGACGGACTCAGACGTACCCTGCACGAGCTGCAGATGTTCCATTGATGTACTCTAATCCGATAATCACAGGGGTAATGCATAGCTGTCATTTCTTTGGTCTTTGCTAAACAACCAGACTTGTACAAAGAAAATAAATACCCCACTTGACCTCGAATTGCAGTTTTAGCTTTCTCTTCTTTTTAATTCAGTACATGACAAGAGCCCTTTATGTGGTCATTGCACTTAAATTGGCAAAAGACATCATTTGTGATTGATTGCACTTCAAAGTACTTGTTTTTGTGTGAGGAAATCCGAGGCTCAATGACCTCCAGGTAGCAAAGCAGACTCCGTTGTAACCCAAGATATTTAGCTGCATTTCTTGTGGTGATTTTAAAATCCTTGACAACAACAACACGTCCGAATGAATTTAGCAAGACTCAATAGAGGAAAGAAGAGAGTTATCAGCTGAAAGCTGGGCTGAACTGGGGGCTCCCCATGGGGGATGCAAAAAAAAGCTAAAAACGGTGAGATCTAATGAGGTGATGTTGAAGTTTTGTGGATTTCTGACCGAGATACATAGATGACAAATCATTCATTTTGCCTGCGGGCAATCTCCAAAAAATAAACTGTTGAGATATTTATCCAAACAAATATGACTTGATGATTCTTTGCAGAAGCCTGACCCTGACCCTTAAAAAAGAAAAAGCATTCAGTGGCAAAGAACATCTGTATGGGGAAAATGAGATCATTCAGATGAGTAAGAGACACATAACGATGCGATTGTTAACAATGAGGTAAATACAATAGAAAAGGGTCCTCCCTGTGGAGCTCTTGCAGTTTAATAGTTACATATATAAATATATATATAAATATAGGTACAGACCGAGGTACGCAATCCTGTTAATGTGTGTCTGAGCTCTTTTTTTTCGCTTTATTGTGAAATTATCTTTTTTTTGTATAAACATCAACCTTGGCAAGACAAGTAGCCCTCCAGGGAGTTAATCTGGTTCTGAGGAGGCAGTCAGGGTTAGTGTGTGTTCTTGTCAGATCAAAGTGTAATTGAGCAGTAGCAGTAAGTCAGTAGTCAAAGTAAAATCATGAAATTTATTAAAAGACGTGTGACCCTGTCGTGACGCGCAAACAAATGCTACCTCTAATTTGGACTTCACGAGATGAATGCCGCATGTATTTTTACACGTGATTTACACTTTAATATTAGTCTTGAAGGGGTAAACCGGAGGTTAAGGAAATAATCTAATCAACACTGGCTCTTTGTGTGCGATGGATTGTGCTGTTAAGGGTGTCACACGCCAAATGACTCATCCGAAATGAATGTCACTCAGAGCAGGGCTAAAGGAAAACAGCACATACTGTAGTCCTCTGAAATGTGAGTGAGTGAGTGTTGCCTTTAAAAATATTTCACAACCACCAGAGCTGTATAACCTTCGTTCAGCCCAGCCAATGACCGGCGTCTCTGTTTACTGGCCGCCTGTGCCAGAAGGAGCACGCTGTATATCTCCGTCTCTATATTTCTTCCTGAAAGTATATTTGGATGTGAGCTGTTTGTATTAGATAAGATAGGCCGCGTTAGAGTGGATACACTTTAAAAGAGGACATTTGTTTCTCTCAGTCCAATAAAAGCACATCAGCTGTCAGGAGTGTTTACGGGCAAACAATCCTGTCTGACAGACCTGAGGCGCAGATCTAACGAAAAAGACGCCATTTTTCTTCTTAAGAAACTGAGACAGATGTCTCAGTCAGCACTCCAGTTGATTTATTTTCTTTTATGTGGGCCGATTTTTGCTTAATGATCCTGGTCGCTGGTGGACTGGAGGTGTGCGGTTGTCGAAGAAGGATCACGTCATCCTAAATGAAGTCCCACACACGTTGAGTGGAAACTGTCTCTGGTGGTCTTTTCTCCACCAAAGAGTTAGCAAAGTTTCGGAATGTCCTTTTTTTCCCCAGCCACATATCATGCGCACCGTCTTCATATAATGTGTGCTTTTTTACATCTCATTCTAACTCTTCTGCCCCTCTTTGTGTCTTTTTCTGGTTCAGTGTCTGTTTTTACGCTTTCGTTCTCCCTCCAGCAAACACACAGGTCCAGCTGTTATGCAATGTAAATTCCAGCTGTTTTTGCAGTTTCTTAGGAAATTTTTAGCCAACACTCTCTTTTTTTCTCTCGCTTTCACTCTCTCTCTCTCTCTATCTCTCTCTCCCATGCACACACACACTGACCGAGGAGCCGAACGATGTTGGGATGGTCAAACTCTGCCATGAGTGCCGCTTCTCTCTGGAAGTCGTTCTGCATGTCAACCGAGGCTTCCTCTTTCAGCATCTTCACGGCCACCATGGTGAAAGGCTCCGTCGGCAGCAGGCCTGGCGCTCTGCAAATGGCACACAGCACACTTTTTTGTCAAGACACTGCCTCCTGGGGGGGGACGAAGAATTTGCCGGGAAACACCCAGCTCAAATAAAATTCTACCACTGTGTTGACACCAATAAGAAGCCGGTGCCCAGCAGTCATTTGGAATAAATGTAGATAGGACACAGATAGATGCAAAAATGTCCGGACTTCTTATGTTGTTTCGAAATGGGACAAACTCTAGTCTCAGTAGGTCTCATTTTAGATTTATAGATTCCAAAACACACACAGACACACACAAGCTGTATACCGTGCATACATATGGAAACACTCACTCTCTGAATGATACCAAAATGCAGACACAGTACAAAATTTAGGATTAAAGACCATCTGTTAAGCAAGAACTTATTTACTCATGTGCATGCGTATACATTGCTTATAGGGTATCATTTAGAATGTGTATGTTGGTTCTCTTGTGCCACCTCTGCAAGCCCGGTTGGGTCTTAACGTTTCAGAGATACAGAGTTGCTGAATTTTGCTTAGTCGGCACATCACAGGATGAGTCTGAGATGGGCTCAGTGTATGTTTTTCTGTTAAACTTTGGCAACCACACACCCCCATTACCACAGAAGTTGGAACGCATTTGAAAAAAGCTGTATTGCAACATGGAAAATGCGATAAACATACTTGTCTTTTGTGTATGCGCGTGTGTGTGTGTGTGTGTGTGACACCTCCAGGAGCAGATGAACTCAGAGTCCTGATGTGTGGACGTACACACGTTTGAGCTTAAGGCTGTGTGTGCAGGTTGCGTTCCCAGGGGTGTCCATATACTGCACCATTCCATCCCTGGTTTTACGGAAGGCTTACCGGTCAGCCCTGAGGACGCTTTGATTCGATTAGCTGCAGGTGCTACCGTTAAAATGCCACAAACTATTACTGTACTCTGCCGTGACCCGGCTCTCATATCATCTGTCTCCGAACCGCTGTTTGTCTGTTTTGTAACACATTAGTTTTTCTCCGTGTAAACAGTCTGTGAGACATTGTTGGCAGGAGAGAATTCTCAACTGGACTCTGTTGGATTTGTAAAAATTTTCATTCAACAGCTGCACGTTCAACTGATGCTGAATAGAGTTACTGGTATTCTTGTTGTTTCTTTTTTCTGCTTTTTCTTTTTTTTGTTCTGTACAAATCCTATGATGCTGAATAAGCCATACATTATTTAAATAATGATAAATATATTACATGAATGAGAGGGCTGTTGTTCCGAAAGGAGATTTTAAAGAGCATAAAAAAGCTTATTTTTAATCCACTGACCCTCTGTGGCTGTGTGTAAGCGTGGTTAGTGTGACACTTATTCTTTTCTTTTTCATAAAGACATGCCAAAAATGAAATATTCAATAAAGACATGACATTAAGCACATCAATTTTTCAATTCGGAGGTCAAATCTAACAATATTTCAATTCTTTACATGCAGTTGGTCAAACCTGAAACTCTGAAGACGAACCTGTTGTTGGTAGATTTATTACTAATGACTCAGGCTGGGCATTTTGACTCTTGAAAGAGATAAGAATTACACGTTTTGTGCCCTGCTGTGAAAAGATTCAGAGTGTGGGGAGCATAACTCCAGTGACCGCTCAGTTTGTAACTCTGTGAATGACACAGCAGTTCTCAAAATGACCAACATTTCCTCGAGTCTCTGAAGGCTGTTTAACCTTTTGCTGCCTTGTCTTATCCTACTCCTCCTATTATTGTCCAGTGGTTAGATAATAAAAAAGCACATCCATTTCCTGTTCCCACCCCTCCTCCTTCTTTATTTTCATCTCCCCTTGCTGACCTGGCTTGGAAAACACGTCCGAAGGCTCCCTCCCCGATATCTCGAACATATTGGATATTGTTGCGGGGGTATTCCAGGGCCAGGAGCTTTGAGTTCAGCAGCAGAGGAACCCGCTGGTACATCGGGTTGGGGTGGAGTCGATCCAGCAGGAGCTCTGATGGGAGAGCGCTCAGCGTCGGGGTCTCCATCTCCCTTTAAAAGCGCAGACATTTCGGAGGCAAATGAAAAAAAAGAGAAAGAAAAGGGCAGAGACAGTGTCACACATGTCCGACGGGGTTTCACCTTTTTCGGTTCCTCCACTGCTTCCGCCTCCTGCGGCAGCCCAGGATAACGATAGTGAGAAAGATCGCAGTTGCGATTGAGGTTAGGATGATTACGAGGACGGACATGGAGTAAGCCGGGGACGACGCGGTGGTCGTGGGAGGGAGACGAGGGATCTTCTGAGGCCCGGTCAAATCGGGCTTTATCACTACGGGAAACAGAGACGTCAGCAGGCCCAGTTCCTAACTGGGTCAGAACGTGTGCGCGGGTCAAATCCATGACAATGCGTAAAAGATACGTGTAAAATAAGGGCAGCACCTGGGGCCGTGGCTATTGCCCCACACTGGGGAACAGCACAGTACTCCCAGCGTATGTTGGGACTGGAGGAGTAGCACCAGGGCTTGTCGCTGATTCCTCCAGGGTTCCTGCAGTGGTTGTCGGAGTTCTTCAGCTCAGGAATGACGTCCACAGACAATCGGTGCTGGTGGGGAACCTGTAGAACAACAACCAAAAACAACATGATACATGGAGGTTTTTCTGATCACCTTTCCTCAACAATTAAACACAGAAGACCAAAGAAATTGAGTTTTAGTTGGACCAAGAGCATGGTTCCAACCTAATAACCAGGGGGCCCTGAAAATGTTCTGGGTAGATCAGGGGCGTCATTCTCATGCCTGCATTTTAGCCTGCCAACTCAAATATCGAGCATCTGGTGTCGTGAGCTGTAATCCCAAAAAAAGAATAATGGACAAATCTATCCCGGGGGGACAGAAGATATGAACTGAGAAGGCTGGATTCAATACACGTGTTCCTAAAGCTCGCTGTGTCGAGCAACTTGCTGAAAAGGGTCGAGTACGAGGAATGTTAAAAACAACAGCTCTGCCGAAATGAGAAGTTCGGGGACTTGTCACCGAAAGAATTCAGCCACTCTTGGCAGGAAATGAGTTTGAACTCTCTTTATCTACTTTTCGCATCATTATCTGTTTTTTTATTCAGTCTCATTACAGTACGTGTAATGTAATAAGGTGTTTTACAAAGGTATATTAGGGGGGGAAGAAAATATATGACACCAACCTTGATTCAAACTGTCCAGACCTGAAAATGTGCAACTAAAAGTGTCTTCCTCTGAAGTAATAGTTTGCGTCCAGTTATCTTTTGGTATGTTTTGTCCACTGTTTTTATCCAGCAGTTGTCTGATTCGCTCAGCATAGCACAATGATGACAGCATGCTATTGGTAATTTTTCACATCTGGGAAATAAACAGGCTCAAAGATGGACTGTAGTCCATTTTTATGACTCAGTGCAATATGTCCATGTAATACTGGACATATAACATACACAGAATGTAAGGATTTTTTATGTGCTCATTTCCTATGACAATGAGCTATTTAGATGGTATTAATGTCCGACATTCGTACACCAGTTTTAGGTCGAGCCAGCTGTTGAACTGGATCACTCTTGTGTCAGCACTGCACAGGCATTTAGCCGATTTTCTCTTACAGATCATGACGCATGTAAAAAAAAACATCTTTGCCAGATGAGTCCAGATTCCATTTTACTCTAGTTGAGTCTAGTGGAGATCTTCAAGTCCAAACTGCATCATCTTGGTGCTTTTCTCAGATTTATGTTCTCTTTGCTTATATTTTTTACCTTTAAAGAAATTTTCATTGGAAAAGTTAAGACTAACATCTTCATGTTTGGGGGAAATTTACTTACAGTATTTCTTTCAAATCCTTGTTAAGCCATGAAAATATTTTAAGCCTTCATAATTCTAATTTTTGTTTGTTTGTAATATGAATAATTTTAAATCTTGAAACATTTCAAGTTAAAGAAATGTTTATTAACAAGGGATTAAGATCTTGTCAGTTTTATTTATTTGTCGATACTTCATATTTGTTCATTTTCCAGTTGGATTGTGCTCATTTTAGTCTTCCACAAGTGAATTGGGCCTTTATTACAATGAGGTCCTGAGTAAAAACAGAAACATTTTTAAATTTGATGAAGATATAATTATGGTCTGATGACCTCCAAATATTTATCCACTGGGTTTATAGGTTGACTTGAACATTTTCATCAGATAATCAAAGAGCAATGAGTGTTGCAATAACTTTTGATATTGAAAAAAAAAATTGATTGAAAAGAAGTTCCCTAAACTTTTTGGCTTCCCTCATATGCTGGCTTACAAAATCCAATGACAGCATTGCCCCCTCGGGGAGAGTCATGTCAACAGAAGTAGAAAAAAAAACTTTGGTTCTAGTCAGGGATTTAAGTCTAATCATTGAAATAATCCAATAGTGTTTCACAGCCCTTTTTTTGTTTTTTAGCCAGGACCTATCAAAGCTCTGCTCAAAACATTTTACATTCTGAATTCCTGATGGCACCTTATCTTTTCAATTACTTGAAATCATTCTGCCCCAAAGTAAAACACCCGCCATGTGCCCTTTCCTTTTCGCTCTTCCAGATTTGTGAAGCCCAAACGGAAAGTAAAAAAGTATTTTTTGAAAAAGCGGGTCCTCGGTTTTACCTTTGTAGTTACTCTAACTTTACGAGTTCTTTATACTGTTTGTTGAGAAATGTTGTGTAACATGTAAATGCAAACAGAATGCGATGATTTTCAAAACTCTACAAGTGGCATCCTCTTCACATTTGAAAGGTCATTAATCCTGAGCATGAATTTCTGCGACGTGTTGCAGCCATTAGCTCATAAATGACGAGAAATCTTTCATAAGATAATGAAATGCTTATGGTTACGTGTCAGTAGAACATTGGCCAATGAAGGCTGTAACACTTTTATATAACATTTTTATATGTTATCAGTTTTGTGGGACCAGTGTGGAGTGAGTGGGTTCAGACTAAACACAATCTCGCAGTGGCAACGTTTCTGTATGCACAAGATGAGGAATGAGGCTCTCCCCTGACTGTACTTCATCGCTGACCAAACAGCTGATAAAGCTTTTTTTTTTTAAACCAAAGAGCTAACTTAGAAGATTAGCGCATTCTAAAATCGCATATTATTCTGTTGCAGCAGGAGACAAAATGTGCACCTAAATGTCAAAGTGTTTCAGCCTAAAGCGACGGAGGCAATGAAATGCTCCTGTGAATGTGTCGGCCATCATAGGGAAGTTTATCAGATACTGTGTTCCTCCTCAGTTATTAGAACTATGCTATGTAATGGCCTTTTAGCAGTACAGTGTGCAGAAAAAGAACTGGTCTAAGCCATCTGCTGATACATGGAGAAAGGACTCAGGAGTCTTTAAGAGCAAAGGTCTCTCACTCATGACTGCTTTACAAAAAAAATATGAACATATATTTATTTCTCTTAATCAATCATAAAGACACATTGTTTTATCTGATCTTTCAGGTGTCACCCTCCAATCTGATGCTCTTTTCCAAAACATAGCTGTTTCTAGCTCTGGCAAAAACAAGATGGCAAAGGATTGAAAAGCTTGCATGACAGTTCAGAAATGGCAAATAACAAAGTGCTGATGCCACAACTGTAAAGGGTTCATCGAAACTAAAAAAAATCAGAGAGTTTTAGTTTTATTCTATGCGTGAGGATCCTGTTTTTACTGATGTCACGCCACTCTTTTCCAATAAACAGTTTCTAATGAGATTTTTCCAAAGGCGGTCACCAGCAACTACACGTCTTTGAGCTAAGGTCGCTGACAACAAACTAAACAACCGCAGCTGTTTCGCAAGAAAACCTAATCTTTGCAGGGCGCAGCATCCCTTCAGCTGAGCTGACGTACCAGATGAGGTGGAAGCTTTTTAGCCACAATAAATAAGCCCCTGTTCCATGTTATGACTGAGCGCTGCGCTGCGTTAAAACCCCAAAAGTAAAATTTTGTGACTTTTCAGCAAGATCGTGATGAGAAACTTAAACGTAGCATCCTAATTGTTTGGCAAAAACATCCAACCTGCAAGTGGATTTGGGCGTGCGCCTATCTGTGTGTGAGTGCAGAAATAAAGAGAAAAAAAAAATCAAGTGTGAACACAGGCTTAGTAGCCAGCCAAAAGTAAAGAGAGAGTGGAGAGTATGAGCTAACATTTGAACGGCATCGGTTCAGATAGCAATCGTTGCCTCATCTGAGTGAGCATATATCTGTGGATGTGAGGAAACGTAATACGTCGGAGTGTTGCGCGCCTGTGCCGGAGTCTGTGCGCCATATGCGTGTGAAAGCTAATTGCTTCCAGAGGCAGGATGTGACACGACCAGCCCCTCCCTCCCTGCTGACCTGGCAAACACACACACACACACACACACACACACACACACGAACACAAAATATTCTGCAGAGGGTAGCACTAACGGTTCACCCCAACAGGCCCTCTCACTCAGCAAAGCCATAAAAAACTGAAAATGGCTTCTTTTTTTTTGGGCCACGGAGAGTGTGTGAGCATTTGTTTGACAGATATGCGTGTCCATTTGATGTGTTCACGCTTATAAGCACTTTTTGGGGCGTATTTTGTTTTTTTGGGTGACGAAATATTCATCCACTGAGGAAGAATCAATGTTTTAAATGGTAGCTGGAACAAATCAGGAACAAATCAGAGTTATGTCTCATACTGGCCTTCTCACCCTGAGTTTAGATCATCAAGCATCTATTCCCGAAGAAAGAAATATAACCATCTCAAAGGGCCAGCCGAAAGTCTCAGCATAGTCTAATTTGGATCCTAATTCTATTTTGCATTGTAGGCCTAAGCTGCTCCACTCCATTTAAAGAAAGAAAAAAAAAGATAACCCGGATCGAAACGGCCTGCTCAATGTGAAGTTTGAGAAGAGTTTTTGTGGAAATACCTGTAGATTCCATGGCTGACATGGGACCCCGGACCTCGTCACATTCACACCGCCTTGGTAGAAACGACCCCTGTCGTTGTAGCATGTTGCTATAGAAACCAAGAAAAAAAAACACGCAGCGTTTTACTGCTATGGTGACAACGACTGTCTCAGTATTATAAACAACTGCTGTAACATCTGGAAACACATCCACTGGCAATGACGTTTCTCAGCTTCTTCACTTACTTGTAATCTGATCGGTCTTCATGGCTGAAATTAAGAAAAACAGGCAAATAAATTACAACAACAACAGAAAAACACCAAGCTCATAAATTCATATCAGTTACGATTATATTGCAAAGCAAACATGTCCGCCGGTGCGGCAGCAGCAGCTGTGTGTTTTGGCAGTACTCCGTTAAACTGGCCTCGTGACCTCACGGCCGTCAGGGGCCCCCGGTTCGGCCGGCCAGACTTTAGCCGGCCCTCGGCTCGCTCCAGTAACTACAGCGGGCCAACTTATGCGCAATACCACGACTGAGCTGCACGATAAATATTTGATCTGTAAACAACTCACACACATGATATCAGGGTTCCTCCAAAGGGACATTAAGAGTCACTGCACATAGCATAAATAAAACACTCAAAGGTCTTTAAAGCGGCCATTTTCTATCAAATATCACCTTACAGTACAAACCTAAAACCAGATCAGTTTGTTGCTGTACCGTGTGAAAATGTGATTATTAAGAAGAGGAACGTCGATTTTACCTCTTTTTTTAATATTTCGAGCTACTTCCAAGAGCTGATTTATGGGTTTGCAATATTTTTAGCTCAGAAAGGGTTGGAGATTACTTTGGTAAAGGTCACATCACAACTGTGATCTGTTAAGCTTAGCTAGAGTCATTCAGTTTGATAACCTAACTCCAAAGACATTGTTGTTCATGAACATATTGAGATGCCCCCAAATGAGATATATATGATTAATATAGTTAAATCAAACCACTTCATTAAAAGAAGTGTGTTTCAGTGTCACTGAATAGTTTCTGCCCTACTCTAACCCTAACCCTACTCCCTAACTCACACTGTAATTGTAAAGTATCACAAGTAATGTCTTACCCACAAAAGGAACATATGTACAAGCCTCGGGGTCTGTGTGAAGGCTGGGTAGGGCTTGGCAGTTGGGCAGCAGGGAACTGGAGGTCTGAGAGCCCATAACTGAGCTGAAGAGCCTGGGCTGGACTGAAAAACTGCCCTCTAGTACCAGCCACTCCTTATGGCAGTACAGCTCCCTCACCGCCAGGCAGTGCTCTCTGTTTTAAAGAGGAAAGAAATCGTTTGTGACGTTCAATGTTCATTGTTTCAAATCCCCAATCTAACCCATCCAAATGCCAGTGAGAGTAACATTACCTGCAGACCGGCTTGGGTGCGGGTCCCAGCCCGGAGGGGTTGCAGTTGGGGAAGGAGGAGTGGCACAGGAGCGAGCGTATGGCCGGGCTGCACAGGCCGCTGAGTCCCTCCAGCTCCGCCCACCAGCTTTGCACCAGGTACTCTTGCATCTCCTCAGGATCAGAGAGCGAGGAGTTGAAGAAAACCAGCGAGTCATCCTGGAGAATGTTGCGGCAAATGTCTCCACGGTACGCGCTGCAGTAGCCTGAAATGCCTTTGTAGAGCCTGTCGGAGGAGGGAAAAGCCACATTAGCTGCACACGCAGAAAAATACTACATTGTCTTAACATTAGGAAAATAAAACGTGAGCTTTTCTTGATGATCTTGTATGTGAAAAATTTCCATTTTGGTTTGTATTCTGTTAGCATACGTTAGTCAACCACAAAGTCATACATGCAAAATTAGACTTTTTTTGTTTTGTTTTCCTGCCTGCATTCCTATTTACACGCCGTTCTATTTGGAAAATCAGTGAATTTCCCAAAACAAAGAACTAAATAAAAAGTCAGAAAAGGCAGGCTCTCCTCAAATGTATCCGTTCCTGCTTTGGCTGGCAGCCAGTGGACATGAAAGATGTGCCCACTAAAGAAACTAATAAGAAGCCATCCTACACCTGAGATATCTCCTTTAACACAATCCAGATGTTGATCAGGAAAGAAGTCATGGATGGTTTCCGTGGAATCGCAGGCTGACTCTTCGATTTCCTCGCTGTCTTATGTAAGAAGGAGCTACAAAAACTTGCCTGCCTGCATACCAGGCCTGTGTATTCCGGCCCTGTTCTCTATTTTCTTCTTTTGTTTTTTTCTCTCCGATGCCTGTTCCTACTCAAGCATAGGACACGCTCCACATTTTCTCTTCTACGTCTCAGGTTGATTGTTCTGACTGCTCGTCTGTCTGATAGCTTTCATTCCAGACCAGCTTTCCTTCTGTCTCTCTGTATTGCTACTCTTACAAACTCCAGATGTCACCTCTCGGGGAGGTTGAGTTCAAGCCAAACCATCAAACCAAAAGGTGACCTGTAAATCTGTCTTTTTTTCCCCCTTTTCTTCATTTTCCAATCCATGTGTGTTTGTGGTCCAGACCTGGTCATGTGTTGGCAAATCACAGTAAAACATAGCTATTAAACCTGTTTATGACCTAGGATCTAGTATTTCACATGTGCTTCATTTTTCATCCTTTTTTTTCCTTTTTTTTCCTCCTTATTCTGTGTGTCTGCTGTCTATATCCATCACTATAGGTGAGTCTCTCTCTGCAGTGACATTGTCCAGATGTGGTAGCCGCCATCATCATGTGGCTATGAAAAGTTCACATTCAACAAACCAGGAGGATTAAAAAAACAGATCCCTCCTGGTGTCAAAAGTTTATTGACAGAGCGTGCTGCCTTCAGAAAACTCACAAGAATCAGGATATTCTTTTTTTCTTGTTTTTGTTCCAAATTTAGAAATTAGTAAAAGGCATTATGCTGAAAAACTAGTATAATTTAACAGGAAAAAAAAAAGAAACGATATAACGACCAAAATAAATAAAACTCCACATGGATTAGGACATTTCCTGCATGAAAATCCAAAGAACAAGGAATCTTTCTTACCTCCACTCTATGGGGAAGTCGCAGTGTCCGGAGAACACAGGTTGAATGAGCACAGATAGAAGAAGATGAAAGAAGAGGGGAGACAGACACACAAGTAAACACCAACGGCTTAAAATCTGTTTTCCAAAGTAGAGAAAAACCACCATGTTGCGTCTCTATGCAACTCATTGCTGTCTGTGACTGGTGGGACCAGTGTGTGTGTCAATGTGTGGTCCAGGAAAAAGAAGTATGTGTGTCCACGTGTGTTTGAGTTTTTCTTTTTTTTTCTTGTTTCTTTGAGGTGTGTTTAAGGATTGGCCAATTGTTCAGGCAACAGCTGAAGCCACACAAAGCACCACTAATATAAGTGGCAGCTAGCAAAACGAGAAGCGACGACAGTGTGAAAAAAGCACAGAGTAACGACAGCTGTCTTTAAAACAAAACACAACTTTACCTGCCACAGTGACCCTGGTGGTAGCTTTGACGGTATTGGCCCCGGCACTGTGTCTGTTGGAGGCCAGGCAGGTATACAGAGCTGGCTTATTCACCGTCACTCTCAGAACAGACAGTATCACCTCTCCCACTATGGTTTCCTCCACTGAGGCACCTGAGATCTGAAAAAAGAGACACACTGAAGGTTAGAAACAACTTTAACACGTTGGAACAAAATGGAAAATGTTGTGGCCAATCCAACTTTCATGACAAAAGCATATATAAGTATTTCTTGAGTGACTTGTCTGTAACTACAAAATGAAACTTAAGTCTGAAGGTGCACAGACATTTGAACAAATCTTTCACTTTTTTACTTCATACTTAACAGATAATTTAGAGTGAGTTGCAATAGCATGGTGAGGAGTAGAATACCTACACCTAAACAGGTTTGTACATTTAGAATACATAGTAATAGTTGTAAAGTGGGTGGCACAGTTGTGTGGTGGTTAGCTCTTCCATCTAGCTTCCTCCCACCGTCCAAAAACCTGCATGTAAGGTAAACTGGACACTCCAAATTGCCCCTAGGAGAGAGTGTGTGTTGCTGCTTTAATCACGCTTCTGTCAGCACAAGATGAATGAAAGCAGTACAAAAGTAACATGAGAGAAGTGAAATAAACCACTTAGATGTTGACACCCGGACATGAAAATAGCCGACTGATCGAATTTGAATTTTTTCCACGGCCCAAACACCATGGCAGCCTGACATGTTACTACATCTTTATGTGTCTATATTTGAAGTTGTGTTTGACACAATCTCCTTTAAGGATAATCCCATTCCAACCCCGTCGAAGTTAATGACCTCAACGAGCTGCCAGAAAATCAACTCCCACAGTCATTTTAATCAGCGCTCACACACACGCGCATAGTATTTATAAGCATTATGGGCCCGTAATCACATTGTAGCTAGCACCCAAGACTATTTAAGACCCAGACACGATGTGGGGAAAGTTGACCGCAACGGCACGCATAAAAAACAAAAAGTCTACTGCTTTGCTAAAAACAAAAGCCCTCTCTGACTGAATGTTCAGTTTTTTTCTGGTGGCTGAAAAATTGACAGTCTGAAATGATTTTACTTTGATGACATCATCTCTCATTTGACAGAACAACCCAATTAAAGCTGATAACACTGTGTATTATTAGCTAAATGCAAGGCAATCTCTTCAATCCTCTGTCACCATGAGGAGAATTCCATTGCTGTTTATATGACTGATCCCACAGCCCATATTAAGCACATTAACTGGTGAGTGTGTGTGTGCATGTGTAAAGTAGACAGTCAGACAGACAGACAGAGGTAGGAATGGACATGAGCGATTTCTTGTATGTGTTTATTGTTTAAAGGATTCTGTTCCTAAGTGGTGTCTGGGTTTTGTCAGAGACACACACACTTGTCTTGTGAGTTTTTTTTAATCCTGACAGAATATAATCAGGTTTACCCCAGCCACCCATAGATATTGTTCTAATTTATTTTCTTTCTTCTTTCTGACTGTCTTGTTTACTGCTGAGTTTGAATGGTCCACTCTGCCAGGTTTCAACGCTCGTATAGTCTTTTTGCATTAAGGCTGCCTTTATTTGTGTGTTTTTTCGCACAAATCTTGTTGCAATTTACAGTTGTGTCTCTTTTCTTAAAGGCTGCTAGGATGTCTACTTAGGATCCTACTGTGTTTTGTCACTCTGAGCTAGATGTCTATTTGCACAGTGTGACTTTGAGGAATATTCAGAGAACAAGACAGTTTAACAAAACGGTAGATTTGGACATTTGGACACTTTATTCCTAAAGATGATCACTGCTGAAGGGCAAAGTTCAGCAATGGGATGTCTTTGAACATCATTCATCTTTTAAACATGCCACCTGTACAGTGCATGCTTGTCAGAAGGATGATAACTGATACTTGCAGAAGTTATTAAGTAGCTTTTTTGCCATTTACAATGGAGAGATCCAAAAACAAAATATTAGACATAACTCTTTCTTATCAGATTCAGAGCTGGAAATAAGTGAATCGCAAGTTTATCAAAAAAAAAAAACTCCCTGTAAAGTTTTCTTTTGTCTTGGGAATAAGTGGTTAATGTTAGGAGTTATTTTATTAACAGTTGTGCTTCTCTACCATTTCATCAGTCAGCAATTTTATGACATTATGGAGATCAAAAGGACTGTTTTTTTTATTTTATGTCTTACATAATGATGTTTCAGCCCTTCTACTTTCTTGTTGCCACGGTAAAACATGTCATAGTTCTAGCTGTGGGCTAAAATCTACCTCATGTTACTAGTTTGAACAAGGTACGACGCAAACTCAAATGCGAAAATAGTATTCTAGCTGAGACCACAAACTTATTAGTGAACACAAAGTGAACAAAAACACTTACAGTGTTTCCATTTTCCAGCCAGGTGATAGTGGGGATTGGATTTCCTGTGGCATTGCATTCCAGGGATGTCTGACTGCCAAAGGCTACTCTCTTTTCCTTTGGAACCCGCAGGATCCGTGCAGGAGCTGGGCAGACATAAAAGCAGCACAAAGGCAGACTCCATCGAACAGCATTTCACAGGAGCCAAAAAGCCGAATTTCTGAATGATGGGAAACAGTCCTTTACACTGAAATACATACCCTGAACCTCTATGGTGACCGGCTTGGAAAAAGCTAATCCGAAGCTATTCCTGGCCACACAGCGGTACTGTCCTGCATCCTCCTTTTGTATATTGTGGATTTTCAGTGCCCCATAATCAAGAATGGTAACACGATCGCTCAACTGAAATGCATTTTTTGAAAGATAGCAAAGACTTATGTACATTTCTATTCCATGAAAATGTTCATACATGTTTTTTTGTTTTATTTTCCATGAAAAATAGAAGTAATATCAATAAAAAAAAAACTTTTTTTTTCAAATGTGGCTCAAAACAAAGATAAAAACTTATTTTTTCATTTTCTTTAAAGTTTTCAGTGCATACTGTGATGAGCTCGTCATCTTTGAGCCACGTGACGTCAGGTTTGGGATTGCCCAGCGTAACACAGGGCAGCACGGCCTTGGATTCAACCAGCAGGGTTACATTGGTGGGATGCCGTTTGATCTGAGGCTCTGAATCAGAGACAAGCAAGAGATTGAGGGTGTTGCCTTGGTGCGTTCTGCCACACATGTTGAGATTAGACGCAGATGTGGAATAAGAAGACGTACTCATCTTTAGCTGAAGAGCCCCACAACTCTTTGCCGGCTCTCCTATTCCGTTCCTGGCCAGGCAGCAGTACTCTCCGTTGTCGGCCTCTCTCACATGAGGGATGAGCAGCATCTGACCCTTCTCTCTGGTCAGGTATCGGGCGTCATAGTACCTGGCAGGTCAGGGAGAAAGGTGCATCCCAGAAAGGAACCCAGACATTTGCAAGATGCCCAGTGGATACTTTATTATTAGACAGAATTATGTTACTTAAACAAACAGCTTCTGTTTCATTCTCAGATTTTTCTAATTTTTTTTCATTGACCTTAGAGTCAGGTGAAATATTAGCATTGTTGCCAGTTGTAAATAACAGACGGAGGGACATATAATGTTACGGCATGGAGCTGAATTCCATCATTTCTATTAATTATTTGTAGCCTTGAGTTGGTACCTGCCCATCAAGTTATTTTTACCCCAGTTCTGTTGTTGTTGTTGTTGCCAATTAGTTAAGCTTAACAGCAACGTCTACAGGGCTGATGGATGCATAATTTTTATCAAATGAGCAGCTAATGTCTCTATTTTTTACAAGCAAAGGTTAATGAAACACAAACGGAAAAGTTTAAGTAGAGAGGTTCAGAGGTTTTAAACTTACATAATCGGCTGGTTATTCTTTGTCCAGGTGATTTCAGCCGGTGGACGGGAGTCCACCTCACAGATGAAGGTCGCATTGTGATCCAGTAGGATATCCACTGTCTCCAGCAAGGTGATGATACGAGGTGCTGGACAATGGAAATGCAAATGAGATCCCTTGTTTGTTTTTGAAAACCAAATCATCATTTTTGAAAAAATATGTATTTTCACTGTTGTAGACAAACTGGCATGAAAAATATCCTTTGGCTGAATCCCCCTCAGGCACATTTACCCACAGAGAATAACAACAATTTTAATGGGGAAGTGTAAACAGCTGCATCTTTTCACCCAAAACATTTGAAATGCTCGGCATTCCTGTTTTAAACCGTGTCATCTATTTCTGTCACGTATCGTCCAGCTAATGGCTTCCCTAAGGTTCCATCGTGGGAGGTAGCGTGTTTATTGGCTACATCGCATCGGAAACATTTGGAATTCGTCAGCTCTGCAGACGCTTTTTTGTGAAGGGAACAGACAGTTTGAACAAACATGTGAAGTTTGGCTTTTGTGATGGCATTATTCTAATTTTCCCGGAAAGTGTTGCGTAATGACATCATCTTAATTTGAGGTTCATGCATCTCTTTGCACACTTTCTTGGGACGTAAATCCCAACTCAGTGGAAATGGGATTGTTATTTCAACTCTGAGAACAGTTCAGAATTAGAAAAAAGAAATATTAAAAGGAGAAAGGTTTGGAAGAAGGTGGCAGTGGCGCAAGGGCAAGAGAGCAACTCTTTAAATGTGGAATCAGATCAAAGACTTAAAGGTTTCTTTAAACTGCAGCTGAACTTAAGAGAGGAAGAAGCAAAATAGAAAGCAGAGGAGGGACGAAATGAAGACAACAGAGGAGGGGTGGAAGAGGGAAGGAGAAAAAGAAAGCTGGAGTTAGAAAAAGATCGGGGTTAAAAGGACACTGTGCTTGCTTTGTCTCTTGTGAAACAAAGATTTCACAATAACCCAGCTGGCCAAAGTCGGCCGAATCCCACCCTCAAGCCTCAGGTCACTGCTGCCTTCAACTTCTGATAATTAAGTCAAATAAAAATGAAAAAAACTGACAAAAAAACAAGACAAAAATGTAAAGAAACTGTGTTTCAATTACACTTGAACTTTGACGTGATCTTAAATTCAATCAGGGTGCAAGGAAATCTACAAGTTATTTTCATACACTGTCTTTTTCTTTTTGGGGGCATGATAAATGGTTTTATGGATTTACATGGAGATGATCCCTGTCAGAAGGGTAAAGATTCCTCTGTTATGTTGTGCAGATGTTCAGAGTTCAGAGTCAACAGAGGATGAGTCTTAATGACTTCAGTGCTAGGTTGCATTCATTTCTTTCTGGTCAACTTTAGCTGATGTTGTTGCCATGAAAGAAGATAAATCTTATTTGAAGAAGCCTAGTTTTATACAAATTTTAGCCCAGCTTGGGACTGGATTGAAGAGTGTGTGTTTCATCCGTCAGGGTCGTCAGACTGCTTGTAATGTCTGACCAGATGTTTAACGTCTGGGACCACATGACTCATTGTTTAGCGCGAATGAGAACCTCGTTGGAATTGACTGTTTCATAGGTTCTTGTTTCAAAATTGTTCCGGATTGTTTGGAAATCGTTCGCTTACATGGACCCCTTACTGTGGTCACATTTCACCTTCACGCTATTTACAATCAGCGGTTGCTACATAAACCTAGCTGATGCAGGCAGACGGTTAGTCAGCATCACTTTGATTAGCTTTAATTTTGTCGGATTAAGAGGAAGTGTCTGAATCATAAAATCCCAGTATGCAAACAAAAAATATGTCTATATGGTGACATTCAGTCACCAATTTGTAGATGTTACCATGTGCTCGCTTATCAGCTCTTACAACAAAAAAAAATCTGTTATTGATGCAAAAAAATCTATGAATAGAAACACTTCATACCGAAGCATGGTGGTGGAGGGTGGTGATTTGGGCTTCTGTTGTAGCCACAAAACCTGGTCACCCTGTGGTCTTTGGATGCTCTGTATACCAAAGTATCCTCGAGTCAAATAATAGCAACTGGCCTGTGTCTCGTGAAACCATAGGAGAATTATCCCAAAATGAATGCCTGTAAACCTCCTATTGTAAACAACAAGCCACAATTCTTTCATTTTAACATAGATGAGGTGTTGCTGAAAACATTTACTCCAAGATAGAAGCTCACACATGGCTACTTTCTTCTTTCTTTCCTTCTGTCTTTCTTTCTTTCTTTCTTTCTTTCTTTCTTTATTTATTTACTAGATCTGTGTCAAATTTACCAATTCTTAAGACTTGATCAAGACCGGATTATGTTTATAGCCTTGCAACGTAAGAACTTTAAATTAAAACACAACCCTAACTGTTTCATGTTTTCTTTTATTTGTGCATCTTCTGCGTTTTATCTTTTCCATCGTCCATTAAGCCTCTTTCAACCTTTCCAAAGAGAACTTCTCTGCCATAAAAAACCTGCTTTTCATTTTGGAGCCTGTAATTTACAACCTTTGGTTCCTCTGGCGTTTGCTTTGATTCGCCGTTTATCCTCAAGGTTTTTTCCACGCTGAGAGTCAAACTGTAAACAGCGCTGTGTGTCTCTTGCTTCCAAGATGCGATGCTATCGCATGCTAAGGACCAGATAGAAGCTTTTTTGAGTTTCATTGTGGTCAAAGGAGAACAAACACAGAAATGGCATTGTTCTCATACTGGGTCTGGGATTCAGATGTCTGCGAGTGAGTGGAGAGTTTTTAAAGCCTTTGAAATTCATGCACACTCCTCTATCTGCCCTCAGAAGCAGTGAGTGATCTTCATTCATTCTGATAGTATTTTTGATAATAATGAGCAGCTTGCAGCAGTTAAGGTATCACATTGGCTTAAATGTCCGCAGGGTGACTGTTATTCAACCAGACATTCAGTAAATGGATTTGTGAATGTTTTCTTTATCTTTGTGTCATTTAAACTATAGCGAAAACTTTTCAACTAATGCAATTGACTGCTACCAAACATCCACAATAACTTTTTTCCGTCATCTGTCAGATGTCAAATGAACTCATGTATGATAACACAAGTTCAACAGCCATCGTCGTCCATTTCCTAAAAACATGTTCACACAATGCAAGGTGTTTAAAAAATAGCAGATTGTGAATTCATGGCAGTTAGGCATCATCACATGGGGAGATGTTACAATTATGTATCAAGAGTTGAACTTCCATCTTCTCATAAACACTGGAAATGAAAGTGGAAAATGAAGTATTGCTTACAAGTTTGAACCCATGCTGTGAAAATGTTTTCCCAGAGAGCCAGGCCTGTGAAAGCCGGTAAACCTGATAGCATAAGGCCAAATCTTCCAATATTCCTTTAACCGTTGTATTACACATTTTAAACAGAAAGGAAGACGTTTAAAAGAACAGCTCAACATTTTGCAAATACGATTATCAACTCTCATTGTTAGAATGAGGTAAAAAGATGGTCATGAGGATGTGAGTTAACTTTGACCTCCTTTGCTAGTAAATACCACAGAATTACAACATAAATTGCATGATACAATACCCTCTACTGTATTTTCACAACCCTACAAAGGCCAAATATCACTGCCAACCACATGCTTCCGTACTTACCGGTCATCTACGTTTTTGGGTTTTCTCTGCAGCTTGTGTACGAGTTATGTCTGTAAAAGTTGTGACTGCATTTGATGTGGCTCTCATATCACATATCCCGATCCACAGCGAGAGGCTCCGACGTGCTTCTGCCAGGAGCCACCGAGTTGTGGTGATCGGATTTAAATGTGGCTCACTGGAAGGCAGAACTCAGCACAAGCTCTCCACCACCTCTGCTCCTCACTACCTCTGCCTCAGGTCACATAGGATATATCAAAGTGTAGGAAGGATATAGATTTAGTCACATTTACACTAAGTTGGCCTATAAACACCTTCTCCTTTTCCCTGCAGAGGAAAACAGGTGATCACACTGCTGCCTATAAGGCGGGGGGGGTGGACTGAGCTGCCTTCTCTGTAGGACAGATGGAATGTAATGTACAAACACATGAATAAAGGATTCTTATTGTCGATATCTGAGGTACTTTTCTTGATTCATGGTCTCCGTCTCATAGGAGTGTTGTTATAAAGCATCAGTTCATCACGTGAATGATCTGGAAAACTCTAAACATTCCCATAGGACTTACCTCTCTGCATGCTGAAACCTGATGTGACGAAAACCAGCAGAAAGATGAGCTTGTGTTCCACAGTCTTCATCCCGGCTGAAGAATGTTGACTCAAAGGACTTTGTTTCTTTCCCAACAGGTAAAGAAAAATAAGATAAATCAGTGGGTGGTTAAATGTCCATGGCAGGGAAGCGGTCGTTTCTTGATGGTTCACTTTCTGGCTCTGTGTGTGTGTCGCGTTCAGAGGGGGGGTCGGCCGTGAGCCCTGAGCTGAACAAGAGCCGGGCGGTCAGCGCGTGCACGTGTGCTCCGGCTCTGTGACGGGCAGCAGCAGCTGCCTGCAGTCCTCCTGTACCAGTGGCTCCAGCGCCGCTCGTCCATCTACGTGTGGTCAACAAGGCCGGACAAGCTGCGTGAGGTGGTGGAGAATCAGCTGCCTTTATGGGTCACGTTAGGGTCAGTGAGCAGAAAAATAGAATCACTGAGACAAGACTGTTGTATGTAAAGTACATATTGCCTCATATTTTTGTCCCACATAAATAAAGTTATGTAAATACTAAAGACAGGAAGTTACAAATCAATCACCAATGCCTGAAAAAAGAATAAAAAACTGGTCATCCATTACAGTTACTGTAACACAATAACACATAATACAGTGTTGTTTCCAACAAAACGCACAGGACACTGTATGAACATCTGCATCCTCATTTGTCTTTAGTATTCTGCTTTTTTTGACAGGTGAGACCTAAAATATATCTGGGAATTTCACATATCCGTAAAGACGTACACAATCAGACATATTAGGGACCTTACTTAACATCCTGACACACACAAATAGATACAATCCAGGAGGCAGCCTTTGTGTCCACCTGTCGCCTGTCGGCCCATGTGTCCAGTTTTATTTTAGGAAAGGAATGGCATTTCGTTACATTTGCTTCTTGTCCATTCTGCCTCAGATGGGCCCAACTATTGTGCTCCAAAGGCAAAAGCTCCCAGCCTTTGGGCCTATCGCTGGGGTCTGTTTTGTTTTTACAGCTAACCGGGGAATTAAGTTTAAAGGCCGCTTTTGTGGTGCCGTGTGTGGTTTGAATTAGATACTAAGAATGAAGTTTAACTTGAGTTTCCTTCGGGATAGATGCTATCGCTCAGTTCTTCTTGTTTTGCTTCCTGGTTTGTTCCCACATTTATTTTTGCCGGCCAGAGAAGGTCCACTTAGAGGCAGATGTCCCCCTTGTTTCCGGTGGCGGTCTGCACATTTCTGCTCAAGTGCTTCACACTTGTTTGACGGCCGTCTGCTTCCACCTTGGCGCTGGGGGATAGTATTACGGTGAATGTCACACCACCGGGCGATGCTGTGCGACTGGGGACGAGTAAACCTGTCGTCAGATGTCTTTTATCTGCGTCAGGCCCGTTGTTTGCTAAAGTTAGCGCGCGGCTAACATATCCGTCAAACACATTCGCGGAAACGGCAACAGAGAAAGCGAGAGGACAAAACTAAACACGGCAGAAACCGCCGACTCGGGTTTCCTGAGTGTCCAGTGTTGACATTACTGGCTTTGGTCCTCTAACTCCCTCTGCTGACCGAAGCTCAACTATGGATCCAATCCATAGCATTTCACTTCCCCAGGTCACTTCTCAATATTTTGGATTATGTTTAGCTGTATGTTCTTCATTTTACTGCACATAATAGCTAAATCAGTGCACGATCTTTCTGCTCTCAGTCCCCAAAACCAGACAATGGAGGGAGCAGTTGAGATTTACCATTCGACCCACTCACTTCTGAATTCTCCTGCAAACGTGTAACTTGGTTTGGATAAAAGCTTCTGCTAAATGCTACAATGCAAACGCTGACAAACTTATCACACATATATTTATTATCTTTATCATCACAATCTCCTGCAGATCACAGTCCTGGCATTGTTGGGAGCTTTGTCATACTTTAAAACTCGTTCGTCTCTTTCTCCCTTTCCCTCAGTCCCTCTTTACATGCACTTGGATTCTAAAGTCAAGTCGTATCAGGTGTCAGCCTGCCACTCCCTCCACGCACTGTCTCGACGTGTTCTACAATAATTAACCAGCTGCTGTGGTGTTGCCACAGGCTCACCTCCTGCCACACGAACTGTACTCTGGACTTTTTACACAGTAACGCACCCCTATGCCGGGCCATACACAAAACCTTAAATATGGAGCCGATCAGCCCCATTTCTTTAAAACACTGAGAGACAGCCTAAACAGGTAGGACTAAGTGTACATTTTTTAATCTTTCTGCTTAGATTTGACCACTTGTGATTTACTTTTACAGGTATTTGTGTGTTTGCATTTGATTTTGTATCAATGATGTATCAGTTTCTTAGTCTAAACCAAAAGAAAGAACTACAAAGCAGCAGAGATGGGTATCAGGGCATGAAAAAGGGCAGTAAAGTTAAGTGCTATGTGTGCCGAAGCTTTGTTTTTCAGGATTACAGCAGAAAACATAAGGCTTTTATAGACTGCAAATTCTGCTGTACCACCAAATAAAATCCTCACTGCTTTATCAAGCGAGGTGGTTTAAAGACTAGAAGGAAGAAGCCATGACACACTGTTTTAAAACGTTCTGGCCTCTTTCATCTGATTGAAAATCCCACCGCGTTCCTTTTTTTGTGGGACAGGAGCAGTTTGAGGTGATATTTTGCTTCCCAGTACAGACTCATGAGTGTACCACAGACTGCATATAAAAAATCTTCCAAATATATATAACCATAGAGACAGAACGTCTAAATTATTCCAACATCAGCCACCGGGAGGTCCCAAAAAATATTCCTCCCAGCTGAATTCTATAGAAAGATATTTGACTCTTCCAGATGATACAAAATGTGTAATGCTTTCTAATATTCCCAATTTTCCTCCAGTTCACTCCATAATATAGTATATATTAGGCTTTAAAAAGATCACAATTCTGTTTTATCACACTTTTTGCTCAAAACATACCCAATACATACGACTACAAGCAACTTTGAAGAACTGCTTTTAGACTGATCTGCTCCTAATTTTCTTTTATAAAATACATTTTTTTTCTCCCTGTTCTGCTTTTTTGGTAATCTGTCCTCACCGCAATTTATTCTAAATACTGATATTTTATTTTGAACAAGTAAGTGAAAAAGATGAGATCTTTCATTTCAATGGTTGTCATACAAAAACATGATGTTTGAAAAAGGGTAGAGGTAGAAGTTTGTAACTCATCATCCCTTCGTCAACAGAAAGGTAAAAAAAAAACGGAAAGTCCATGGGAGAAGAAAATATGCTCACATACATGTGACTTTTTACAGTTATGTAACTGAGAGTAATAATAACCACCTTAAAAATACATTTAAAAATGTTTTAACATTCAAAAACCACAGAACTCCCCTGAGTCTATGTGGTTTATTGCCTCATCTGGAACAAAAACTGAGTATTGCGCGGGTGAGAAATGATTGATTTTTATTTTTTATTTTTTTACTCTGTACATAATTTTAGTTGTTTTGAGTTCAATCAAATCAAAACCTTGTCATTTATTTCAGATTGGTTTAAAGCTGAAGCCGGATGCAGCTTTATTAGTGTTGCAGCAAGTAAAAAAGACATTTGAAAAAAGAAAAGAGACAATACAGTGTGCTAAAACAACATCAGTAACAGGCCATTCAATGTATGAAAGTCCAAACAGTGCATATCATCAATTTCTTCTAACATATATAACACCACATGGAGACAAAAACAATATCTGGCAACCAGGTACAAGTACCGTGTCCTGAATTCAAAAGAGAAAGAGTGCTTGTTATGGTACCTTCCCTGAGACCCATGTCAGCATCTTTGGTCTGCATCTGTGCAGTTTGGATTCAGACATAGATGGGATTTAAGAACCGCAGCACACACAAACCTGTGTGGACACACACAATCCTGACCACAGATGACCTTAAAAGTGAACATATTCAGGCTAGAAAGAAAGGCAAAATAGTTGAGGACAACAGTGAAAATAAAGTACACAGTGCTGCATTTTATGAGTGCATTTGACCCAGTCTTTTTTTAGTCGACCTCCTTTGCAATACCGCACGCTCAGGCCCAAAAATACACACCTGGGAGTCATTGTGTGCCTGCTGGATTTACAAGTGATCATGTGAGCCAGAGGCGTATCGGGATTTGAATGTGGCGGTTTGACGACGTCTCTCATTTGATCACCTGCTCCGGAATCACTGAGCTGATAGGCAGGTAGACACTCTGACAGAATATATTATTTACAACAGTCGAGATAAAGCATCCAGAAAGGGAAGTAGAATAACACTCTTACATTCCTCTTTCTGAGCAAAGGAGGTGATTAGGAGAAGCAACAATGCCTCTGTTCCTTTATTTAGTGATGTGTTTTATAACCTTGATTGAATCGTTGCTTTTCTATCTGTTTCTATGATTTAATCAGCGTGGCTTAAAAGCTTTTCATCCTATCAGCGTGTATTTGTTCCTGTCTCAAAAAGGTTCTCGAGAAAGTCTTAATCTATATTAGGAATGGCATAACTTATGTATTTTCTATGCTTTCTGAGTCTGAATACTAACATTGATACTAGTATACTTTAAAGGGGTTGACTGCTTAATTACATGCTTATATGTTCTTTTAGATGTTACTCATATCTTGTATCATCACATCACAAAATGAATATATGGGAATTTGCTAAAATGTCATTTGGTTACAAAAGTAGAGACAATCAGTCACTTATAACATTTTTAATCATAAGTGTGTATTTCTTTCTCATGAGAAGCGTAGATGTTTGACACACCAGTCAGGTTCAGTCTGTTCTGTTCTGTGATTTCTGCTGTTGCCTGTTCTCCAGCTTGGCTCTGTGTGTTTTCTTGCCTGCTGATCAAACAAAACACACCTTTTTCTCTTTTTGGCTGGAAGCAGCCTGACTACATTCAGCCCAGACGAATCTCCAAAGATCATTCATTCAACTAAATGAAAAGTCGCCACCTAAAATACAGCTATTTTTCATTCGTGACCCTAATTGATCTTACTATCAGCCCTCTGTATGAATCTTAAAGCTGATGAAGAAAAACTAAACCTATATGACGACAATATGTGGCTCCACCTCATACAGAGATCTGTGATTATGCAGAGTGAGTGTAGGAATACTGGGAGCGTGTCCCTGTGCTGAACTGGGGAACTGTCCAGAGTTTGGCTCACCTCCTGGCAAATCTGTGTTGGCTTCAACCTGCTTTCCAACCCTCAACTTACTGGTTTTACTGGAGTGTTGACATCTACGAGTCCTATTCGAAGTGATCAAACTCCACTTCTCTGTAGGTCGCGGCAAAAGGCTACAAATTGGCACGAAGGTTAGTTTTGTTGGAGTTTTCTGTATCGTTGTGTTGTTAATTTGCTCCCATGTGCAGGAGTCCAGTGTCAGTCAGAAAAGAGGCGGAGCCAGATGAAGTGCCAAATACCTGAGATATTTCCAGTCCACAGACAAGCTGGGGCAAAGACAGTTTGAAAGAATGAAAGAAATGACAAATCAGATGAGTGACTATTTTCAGGCTGCTTTGACGTTCACTGTAAATCAGAGAAAAAAAAAGAAACAAGCAAAGGGAGAGGCGGCACAGATACTCCAGCAGTCACTCTTCACAGTCTGCCTCTCTGACCGAAGGATAAACAAATGGTTTGGTTCCACACTATCATCACTGGTTACTGGGTGGAGTACTGTTATTAAATCTCCTAGAGACCAGCACGACAAAAAAAAAAAGAAAGTGAAAGAACGGAGGCACGGCTAAAAAGAGAGAGAGAGTGGGACAAATATAACACAAATACTTCAGAGAGACTGAAGGGCTGGGAAGAGATATTTAAAGCACGGGGAGAAGAAAGAGCTGGAGACAAAAGACACTGAATCAAGAGGGGAGCTGTGATTTGCCATGCTAGAGGAGGTAATGCTTTAATTATCTGGTTGTGTTTGGAAAGTGTGACGCTGCATTTGGTCACAAACGCAGCAGAATTCATTTTCGGCCACTTTACTCGTCAGAGGCCAGTGTTTTACGGGTCGAGAGTCTTTATTTAGCAGCAGGGACACGCACTCTGGATTCAACAAGTCACCAGCCGGTCACTCATTTTGTGACCATGTGCCCTGACAGGAGGTGTGTGTGTGTGTGTGTGCTTGTGCCTTTTCTCTCTCTGCAGAGGTTAAACAGAGATGAATGAAGCAGCTTTGCTCCCACTGATCAAAGCGGGGGACGGGAGGACGCTGTCCAGGTAATATACCGCTCCTATATCTCAAACTATGCTGTCTTTGGATTTCAAGTATGTCAAGAGAGATAAGAAAGATAAGAAAGAAATCAAGCATGAGTGGCTAGCTATAATCTTTGGTGTAGAGTGTTCATGTAATAATACTACTACAAATTTCTACAAAATTGGCACATTATATTTTCAATCAAGACACTTTCCAACCGACTTTTGGAATCCTCCAGCTATTTCATCTTAGATTTAGCTTCAGTTTTGAAGATATCAAATATTAGTTTTTTTCCCAACTGCTTCAATGTTCCAATTCTCTTCAAATGTTGAGGTTACTGGACTCTTTAACTCCCAATAAACCTTTAAACTCCACAAAGTGCATCAGATTAGAAGCAGTACAGCATAGATGGTATGGGTGTCCCTGGTGGGAAAAAAGAAAAGAAAACATTAGCGCTGCATTGAATTTTGCATTTTTGCAATGTCTTTTTACACGCTTCTTCATTTTAGAGCCGAATTTCTCTCGCTGCTGAACACTTACAACTGTTTCCTCAAGGACCAGACTCAACTGCACCTCACCTACTCTCAGGTTTGTGCAAACGGCAGTTGTTTTTTTTGCATTTGCTGGTTGTCAGTTGCTGCTCTTGACAGCAGGATAGCAGCCTAGCTGCTGATTACACACCGTGGGTATTTGTTTCTGTGACAGGCGGTCGATGGTGAGGTGATTGTGGAAGGCTTTCTGAACATCTCGTGGGGAGTCCGGGGACCCATCAGGCTGAAAATACAGGATGAAAAGCAGATGCTTTCCCTCACTCCTCAGATCCCACCTGATCCTACCAGTCCAGTCAGTCCAGCAGGGAACAAGAGGTTGTCTTTTGAGTCACAGTAACAATTACAATAATCAATAAATATTGTATTGGAAGTGGCTCTGCATCTGCCTAAAAGTTTTTATTTAAGATGGAAAGTCCTTTGCGCATGTCTGTGAATAATAATGTAATTTTCTCCACTTCTGCAGCAGCATTTCACGTTGGGGAGAGTACAATGACCTCCACCAGATAGACGAGATGGCTGAAACAGAGGCAGCACAGCAAACAGTGGTCAAAGACCCACTTCCAGGTTGGATTTCCATTCTTTCCTTTCACTTGACAATGACTTCTAGCACGTACCACAGTATCTTGCTTAAGGAATCTGTGATAGTTGCTAACAGTTATCCGTTACCTTGGTAAGATTCGTCTCTCTCTTGTGTAGTCTTTCTTGTCTTTGTGATAATAGAATTGTGTTTTTCATGAAAGATACTGTGTAATCTTTTTAAATGTGGAATAGAGGGATTTTTCTAGCCATCTTAATGGAACCTGAGCTTAGAGAACATAGTTTTTTTGTCTTATGCAGTACAATGTTAAGTTGATATCACTGTGCTATGCTGAGACAATATGTTTACATTAATCACTGGGACTTGATGATGATGACCAAAGCATTCAAAGTGCATGGGCAAGAAACAATAGTTTACAGTTTGGGTGTTCAGTTACACTTTATTCTATATACCTAAATCTCTTTCACAGATTCAATAAATGTTGAAAGATCGTTACTGTTTTGATGGGTCATTCTCTGAGTGAGTGGCATAAAATAATGAGCTCAGATAAATCCTTTCTTGGATAGACTTTAACCAGATGCCTCTTTTATACCCAATCATGACACCCTCGCCTGTTATCTGCTGATTGTAGAATACTGGAACTATGCCGGAAACTTATACCTCTTTCCCAACAGTTTTCTCAAGTATTTGCATGTGTTGCAGGAATTAAAAAGTGCATTTGTTTTAGAGATTTTTAAGTGTTCAAAATACAGTGTAACTAAACTGTACAGTCATGAAAATCAAGATGTCTTCATCATCGTGATTTGTACTCAGTTTGATAAATGTTTGTTGAATTGGAGAGCATTTGACAACCTTTCTAAAACAAAAAGCTCATATAAAATTTTAAAAAGCCTGACTCTACATTAATTGGAAATCTCTTTAGTCACACAGATCAGTTTCATTCTGTTGAATCATGTTGAATATGAGGCATTTTATCTGCATATATTTTCCCATTCCTAAGGTCCACCTGTTTATGAGTCAGCCACCTTGCGTCCTGCGAGGCAGAAGAACTGTGAGCTGGAGATGGAGTCAAACCTCTTTCGCTGTATGAGCGAAGCATCTTTAGTGAAGAGGAGGAGGGGCCGAAAATCAGCAGCACAAAGAGAGAAGGAAAGACAGCATCGCTTTTCTATCAACGGACACTTCTACAACTACAAAGTCAGTTCCTGCTCCACACATGACTTCTCGTTTCTTTTCAATCCACTTATTTTCTCTGTCCATGCATTCATTACTCTTATTGTATCCTGCAGACCTCTATTTTCACTCCATCCTTTGGTACTCCGACCAAAGTCCGCATATCCAGCAAGATGAGCACAGACCAGGTCATCGAGCAGCTGCTAAACAAATTCAAAGTGAGTTTAGTGTTAATATTGTAACTTGTAGACATGGCCTCAAAATATACAAATAATAGACACAGTGATGTAATGTAGTAGAAACCCGACTGGCAATCTGTAATATGTGCAAACAGTCTTGTTATATATTGTTATATGTCTGAATAAGAAAACAGACCTTGGGCGTTTATGTGTACATGAAAACAAAAGTTAAATATAGATATTCTGTTTTTACCTGCAGATAGAAAACGATCCTCAGGAGTTTGCGTTGTACTGCATTCACCAAAGTGGAGGTAGGCTTGATCTGTTGTGTGGGTAACGTGTCGAATTACACAGAATGGCATTTTTTGAATAAATGTGTCACACCCAGAGAAGAGGAAACTGAGCAACAGAGACCATCCCTTGTGGGAGCGCGTAATGCACGGACCCTCTGATGACATTATGAAGATATTTTTGATGGACATGCATGAGGAGGAAGTCAACAATGATGTGAGTGTGCTCATCTGGGCAAAAAGATTTACCGTGGGTCCTTTGGATGTTGTAGCATTTAACCCAACAGGAACAAGTGAATGATCAAATGCCGAGAGGAGCATTGTGGTTGCATCCTTGTTAAGTTTCAGGCCCAACTTTTGACTGATTTCGGCTTCTCTTTCACAGAATCATATCGCAGTATGATATAAAAATATGTTTGAGTTTATTTTCCTGCACCAACTAAATTAAGCCTGGCAAAAAATAATGTTACATACTGTATATATTTTATTTTCTACATTTGTGAGGGCTTCTTATCATCACTATTACTCTCCATGTCAGAACCTTCTTTGGGTTATTATCCCCAATAACACCTTCGTAACCCATTTTAATGACAACATTTTGCCTTTTCTTAAGAGAAATTTGTTAACTGCCTTAGAAAACATCAGTGAGGTTTCACTTACTTGGCATCCTAGTGTCTTGCTAAATGGCCAGGGACAATCCTTGATTTAGTTCAAAAGATCGAAGTTTCTCACTCAACATATCAAATCAACACATTAAAGTTACCTTAAGATTTCTATAGTATTTTGACAGAGAAAAAGACTATAAAATGCATTGTTTTCACTTCATGTTAAATAAGATTATGACTTAGCCATTTACTTAGTTTATTGATTAAATTATTACTCCAGGATGTGTTCTTTTAAAAGGGTTAGGGTTAGGGGAAAAAAGGCTTCCCAAGAGACAAGGCAGTCTCAGTCCAGACTGTTTTTCCTCCCTCTCCCCTCATGAATCACTGGAATACTCATCACTTCCAAGAAAACCTCCTCCTTCAACACCCTAACATGCCTACCTCACACTCCATTTGCACTCCTATACTCTGTACTCTATAATTTGACAAATTTAGCCCTTAATGCTTATATCAGGGTTTCCTGAGGTTATTAGTCCTCAAAATCTCGACTCAGGAAATCGTTTTGGATGACCGAATCCATGAAATGAAGGAATGTAGATTCCACAGAACCTTTAATGTAAAATCTACTTAACAATAATTGTTGTTGATAATTGTTGAATTGTGTTTCCACTCAGGTTGCCCAGTATTTGAATCTGGAGCTTCCACTTTTGGAGCAGGTTCTTCTGAAGCTCAGAGAGGAGGAGAACCGGGAGATCCAACGGGTCATCAGCAAGTCAGTGTACCATGTTGATTTTCCCATACATTTGAGTATTGATTATTCTTCATCGTTCACGAAGAAATGCTGGACTCACTCTGGCTGTGCAGCTGCCGTCAGACAGATGAAAATAAAAAGAATGTAGTAATGTTGTTTGCCCAGATGATGGCGCCAGGATTTTTGTTCACTTTCCTGCCATGTGACGTGTCCACTTCTTTTTTCTGTGTGTGTCAGGTACCATCATCAACACAGACTACTGTCCCATATGCTGAACTCTAAGGGGTCCCCTCACATTGAGACCAGCGTCTGACAGAGGCTGAGAGCAACCGCTGGAGCAAAAACTCTCAGGAGGAATCTGGACTTGTTTCACACCTTTAACCTTTCAAACAGGATTAAATGTTAAGACCCAGATGCAAAGACGCAAAATACCAGGTTTACAGTTGTACCCTTTCTATCAATTATATAATACAATGAGATGTAAGTTGCTAATATGTGTTTTTTGTAAATAAAAAGGGACCATCTTGAGAAGCTCTCTTTTTGTGATCTTTTTGGTCGAGATAAATTGTGCCCTATAGGATCCATTCAAGATTGTCATTTATGATAATATTGAGCACTGACATTTTTAAATCTAAAAGGTTTTTATATTTAGATTATTATTACATGACTTGTTGTGACTGAATAATGTTTGGCTTTAGGCAAAAGTATTGGAGTATTATTATGGTTGAATTTTTCTGGAAGTATGCTTTACTGTACATTTATCATGATGCATCAATTCAGTTTAATAACATGGAATGTTTTTAAGAGTCAAAAAAGAATAAAGCTTTTTACCTTTTGAATTATATAGTTATATAAGACACCCTCATATATGAAAATGTAATGTCTTACTGATATAACTGAGGAAGGAGGAGTTTCTTGAATTGTGCCACTATCTAAATGATCAATTCCTGTTATTTATAACATGTTTCTCTTTTTTTATCAAAGCAGAGCACTGCAATTAATCAACCAATACACAGTTAGGATCTAAGAATATTTTGAAAAAGATGGAACCACTAACACAAATCACATTGTGGTGAGATCTTTGGAGCGTGGTGGGAAGTATCAGCGATCTAAATCGGTGTGTTTTATGTAAACATCAGGATAAAATTTTCTTCTTACAGATTCTGGTGTCTATTAATAACTCCCCTTCACGTCTTTGGAATTGCTTTTCTTCTTGCTATGTTTACTCTCTTTTTCCATGTTAGACATGCACTTAATACAACTGCACATCCAGTTATGACTCAATTTGGAAAAGAAACCGCCATGAATAAAAATACTTGTGTGTGCATCTTTCTGAACTCGTGTAAGTTTGCATTTGAGAAAGGAAACTGCTAACCAAATGGAAACTCTGGGATTCAGATAGGAAATAATGATGTGCTGCAGAGTGAGAGCAGCCGTCTAAGTTGCAAAAATCAAATATTTAACGACCACTTTTCCAGACGGCTTCATGTTACCAAACACTGAGTCTGAGTTTCCTTTGCCATAATGAATGAATGAGAATAAATGGTATCTGGTTGTTTAATTGTGGGCTGCGGTATTCATGGGAACTAGTCAAAGTTATAGAAAGCAGCATCTCTCAAGAAATGGAAAGAATGAACCCATCAGTGGCCTGGATTTGAAATCCCATTATGGCCACGGTCCACAAATCTTAAAAAAGCAGTTCTCGTCTTCATCCTGACATCTACTAATTTTCCTTTTCTGGTATTTTGGACTGAGAAGGTTGCTTGTGTGTGAAATTAATGGACCGCAAATATTTGTTATGGCTCAGTAGTAATGTTGAGATGCATGTCCTCTCTTTTGTATAAATGCTATGTAAAACCTGTAAAACTTATAGGTTTTCCTCACTTGACAATTGAAAGTTTTGAATGTAAAAAAGTAAGTAAAGTGCTCTTTATAAAGGGACTTTAACCTAAAAGATATTTTTCACCAGCTTTGGAGGGTAAAAGCATTGAATCGATGGAAACTGACCCAGTTTGACTGCTGCCACAAAGAGACCCTTTTAACCCTCCTGCCCATAACATATGAACACCCTACTGATAGATAGACAATGGATTTTTTCATCAGTTGAATAAATAAGAAAAACCCAGATACTATGAAAGATCATGTTTTTGGATTATTCAACTCAATTCCATGTTGGGTGTGTTTATTATCATTTCACAGATTCTTTGGGGTTGTAATGGATGTACAAGAATTTAATTTTGAAACCACTTACAGGTCTGTTAACAATAGAATAAAATAAAAATCCAGTAATATTTCTGTCACCCATATACCTTGATCTGTTCTTATGCACTTGAAGTTTAGTAGACACTAAAGTTGTTGTTTCTTTCCTAGGAGTCAGCGCATTTTGTTTATCAGTCTTACACGCAAACAAGGCAACAAACCAACAACACAGAATATAGTTTTTCTAGTCATCATGTAATATAAATGAATTAGAAATATTTATTTTATACAATGATATAGAATGGATATTTTAAGTTCATTCAGTCTATTCAGAATCAGCTTTTTGTTATAACTATTGAAATCCAGAATCTTTCACTAGTTCATTTATTTCTTTGTGTGGAAAAGTGTGGTTTTTGGTGTAGAATTGTTTTAGGTGGTCAACTGAACAAGAGAAGGGCTGTAAAAGGTAAAGAAACTTTAGAACATCCTTCCACATAAGAAGACATCGCTGTGTCTTCTTGCCACATTCAGTCATCTTATCAACACTTACTGGTTGGAATGATTTCCGCCACACACAGCTGGACGACTGACGGACATATCAGCACTCTCAAAAGACGGGACTTCTTTTACTTGTCCTCGTCTGATCTCCAGAAAAAGAAGTCAGATAGGCCAATATCTAATCTTTGAGAGGGACAACTTGCCAGACACTTCCTGCTAACTGATGTGTCCAAGCTGACAGCAGGAAACCAGAAAGAGAGAGGAAGTCAAATGGCTCGAGTTTTTTAAAGCCAAAAAGTTGAAAATCGAACACAAAGCCAAATAATTTCTTAAAAATCTGGATTTTTAACAGAAAAACAAAAATTTAGTAAAAAAAAAAGAAACAGAAAAAGACTAAATGAACAGATCATGTGGAAATATTTAACACTATGAATATGGTTTAACTGTTTGAATAGCTTTATTTTTCTTTTCTTTTTTCAATGTTGTACTGATTGACAAGTTGCTGTTTTGCAATTTTCTAAAAGCTTTTATTTACATTGTTTCTGTTCTACATGGGGGCTCACTGTAGAGGGAGTAAATTGTGTGTCACACTTTCCATTTAGGGTGTAGGGTTGTGTTGCCTTGAGCTGGCAGAGGAAGGAATAAGTAGAGCAGAATTGATATATAGAGAACCGTGTCCTGTTCAGAAATCACCAAAGCTCGGCAGTGATTCCCAAAGAAATCTGCATGCAAATTTGTTTTTTTCGAAAAAAGAAAAAAAAATCAAATCCACACGTTTGCATTTATTTCTCATTTGTCTCTGCATTTGTTTGAATTTAAATAAATTAATTGAATTATCATCCATTTTCTTTCAGCATTTTTTGTGTTTCTTTTCGCTTTAAACCTATGCATAAAATCATATATTCAAATATTTGAAGATAAACAGTGACTGGATAAAAGGCACAAACACCTGTTCAGCTCCACGTCAAATAAGACAAAAGTCATTTTCTCTTCCCGGTAAACCTTTCCCAAATTTATTGGCTTGATTTTAAAAAAGTGTTTTAATATTCCACATCTAACATTAACTGTGTAAAAATGTATTCGATTGTACATTTAAAAAAAAAAAAAAGTGAGATAGCAATCACAGCTATGAAACGTGGATCTTATAAAATGGTTAAACTTTCTTGCCAATCTTCTTGCACTTGTGACTCCGCATTTCATGCTCGTTGTTGCGGGGGTTGAAGATCACGTCAAAGTGGCATTTCAGTTGCTGTGGAAACAGAAACAACACCAGCGATAATCAAATATCGATAGTGAAACACTTTTTTTTTTTCCCTACAGCATTTACTCATAAATTGATGTTTGGGGTTATTCGCGTATGTTCTTATGGTGCAGGGATGTCTAACTCCGGTCCTCCAGGGCCGCTGTCCTGCAGATTTTACAGGTTTCCCTGCTTCAGTACACCTGATTCCCATCAGCCTGCCATCGTCAGGCTCATGCAGAGCCTCTGAACTGATCCAATGCATCAGAATCAGGTGTGTTGATGCAGGAAAGCCTCTAAGATGAAGGACAGCCCCTGTTCTAGTCTAGTGTGTTTGATAATACTCTCTTGTTGATTGCATTACATATGATATGGTTTTGTAAAATGATCTCATCGTATGTGCCGGTGTATACAATTGTTTCATGAATCCAGTTATCAGTGCATTGATCTTGTTTTTGTTCTGTCAAACAAAGTGACATAAGTTGAAAAGACTGAACAAATCTATGGAGCAATTCCGAACAAAATGACAAAATTCATCCATTCCAAAAAAATAGGGCTGAACTTAGCATCATAGAAGCTTAACAGTGCACAGATTTACCCGTTTCTCCAATTTGCAGTTGTTCAGGTCATGGTTTTCAGACTTCAGACACTTGGTTTTTCCAAGGATGGTGTCAAATTTAAAGTTAACCATGTTGGTCACCTGTGGAGAGAACCAGTGGGATGGGGTTACTGGATGTTGGTTATTTTGGGGGATTTTTATTTTGTTGTACTGTGAATCCAACCTGTGCTTTGGCACTGGTGACGGACACCACTCTGAAGATCTTCTTTGCCTTGGAGTGCGAGTTGAATTTCCTGACGGCGTACTGAGCTGCCTTCTGAATATCTTCTGCCTCTGGATTCTTCTCGAACCAGTCCCCCAAACGTGGCACATTTTCTGTGAGGAATTAACAGTCATTATCGCATGCTGATTTCCTTTCGGTAGGACAAAGTTGCAATCCAGCATGAAGGATATATTCTATAATCATGATTTAGAACCACCACATGAGACACATGGAGAAAGTGGAATGAGTATTAACCTGAAAACTCTCCTCGCTTTGCTTGTACAGTTTGTCAAAGGCATGCAGCTAGGTTAATCTATAAACACTGTATTGTGTCCCCAAGGAGCACTGTTGTTTAAAATGCCTTTCTCCAGTCCAGACTCCACATTAAAAATGGAAACAGATTACACTGGCGTTGTATTCATACCGAGAGCAAAGACAGCATAATGCCTGGGCTCCAAACCCTGTTTGCACCTCCTGGTATCTGATATTAGATGGCCCATTACCACCTAGTCAAGCATTGAAATTAATGATCAACTGTAGTTTAGCTGTGAATACAAATGCAGATGATCATTTATATAGGTATCAGCACACGGTTTCCCTTTGCTTATAATGGAGAGTTGTCTTTTAAAAGAATGGATACATTTATTTGTGATGACGAGTGTAATCTTACAGAAATTTCAATTGAGAATATACAGTATAAATCTTGTGCCTTTGTAAATCCACTCGACACAGATCATTTAGTTACCTTAATTGATTTAAAAAGGGAAAAAAAGTAACCCTAAAACCAACCTCCTCTTTGCCAGTCTCAATAACACCTCATCAGCAGGGATGAATTATTTTGAGTTGAGCCTCAGCCAAACACTCTGAGTCACTGAGTGAGCAGTCACAGACTCACGCAAACACACAATGTCTCAGACACAATCATCAACCACCTCACTGTCAATGTGTTTGGCTACTTAAAAAAAACAAAAAAAAACACTTTGGTGGTGATTAAGGCTTTCAGGGGAAACCGCATTTGATAGCGTTAAACTCTGTTGGTTATCTCGCTTCCTGTTTGTCTGTTTGGACATGATTATTGGCCACTATCAGAAAAAAAAGCTGCATCCCTTGTAACTATTGTCATTAGGGAAAGTTAATCTATTTCTATGCACTTCATGTTTAGTTATTCCCTTAGTTAAACAACCCATAATGTACCACGCAGATGTGTTTCACTTGATTCTGGATTGTCCAACATGGCTCTGGCCTGTCAACATGATTAAGTGTTTCTTCCACCAGACCTTCCCTTTATGTAAACCTATTACGTGTGATGATATTTACATAATATGATGAAATAAATAAAAGGTCCACCCAGTGTTTTATAAGCAGCAGCTAGTCAGGCTTAAATGAATTAAAAAATGAACAATCAATCCAAAGTTATAAACTTTTTCTTGTACTTATATTGTACTTTTTCTTGTACTTGTTCTTTTGGTGATCTCCAGCTCAACAAGACTCGCCTCACAGCAGTTTAAGTGCAGGATCCCTGTAGATTTTGAACTGCGATTATGCTTAATACTTAAACAGAGTTTGGAGAAATGCTACTGGAATTCCCAGGCACAGAGAAGCAGGTCAGGCTCTTCCCTGTCTTAAGAATTCCTTCCTCATGCTTGTCTCTGTGAAACATCAGCCTGCACCGGCAATGCAACCCGCACATTAGTTTGTCTCACTCCTTGTCACTACTTACTGGTAACGATGACTTCCTCCACCGGCTGATCTCCAACGCACTGCTGGAAGACTGACAGGCATATCAGCGCTGACAAGGGGAGAAACATCCTCATTTCTGCTCCTGTAAAATTTCCAGAGAGGGAAAAACACGCTTTAACTTGAGGTGGATGAAACTTCAGCAGTTGGCAGCAAAGTGACGTTTGAACAGTCCAAAAAAAAGCACTTTCAAGTCACTTCAAATACAGCAGGGGAGGAAAAAATGGGTTATTAATATATCAATATATCAAGTGTTCATATTTACCCTCTTTGTTATCAAAACCGTCCAACCTCGGCAAGTTTGAGCAAAAGCAGAGTAAAAATAATTGGAGTGAAGAAGAACGAGAGAGGGACAGAGTGTTGTTAGTGAATGTGTGTTCCTGTGCTGCGTTCAAGCTCTGGTATGTTTAACCAGGCAGTGAAGGCCACACCCACCCACTGCTTGGCTGGCAGTGATGTCATGCATGAAGCCATCAGCAGCTTTGGTGTGTGTGTGTTAATATGTGTGTGTGAGAGAGAGAGAGAAAGAGAGGAGAAGCCGAACTGGATGGACTGGATGACTGTTTGGAAAATGTGTGCTCTCTGATTCAGCGCCTTTTATGTCTTTGCATTCATGTGCAATGTGGGCATGTTAATGTGTCTGTGTGGATCTGTGTACATCCATTTAACCTTTTGTTTTAAACGAGCCAGCGAGGCACGAGCCACGTCTACGTGGACCTGACTCAGAATACAGCTGGCGAAGGACTGAAAGTCACTGAAAAAATAGACATAAAAAGAAGCAGAATGACGGATCTGATAATTGAATATATGCAAATGTCGGTAAGTGAAGCTGAAAGTGAATAATGAACAGGAGTTTTCTGAGTGGCGCCTTTAGAAAGACATGACTTACTCACATAGGAGGAAAGTCTAAGTGTAGCATAACTCATTATTGTTCTGAATGCGTCTCATTCGTGTTACGAGACATTTTGTTTTTGTGCCATGTCTACTTTAAAATAGGGAATTTCAAAAGACACTTGTCAACTGCAAAAACGTAAAAGCTTGAAGGGCAAAGTCATGCTTTTAAAAAAACTGCAACGATATTCCAAAGGGCTTGACAGAAATACTGGAAACTCTGAGATGGATTGCCTTCAAATCTGGCAAAGGCCTGGTTGTTTCTGGGAGATTCCCACACTTTCCCTCTAGCACCACCATCAGGTTCAAACTCCCCGCTCATCGAAGCGCCTCGTGCACATCCAGCCCGGGCTGGCACACGTCTCACAACAGACATCTGTGTAAACATGGAAGGATAAAACCTCAAGACTTTAGTGTAGTTGTTGCCTTTTATTTGGTTAAAAAGTCTGCTTGACCACTGGTTTTGGTAAGAGGCCGCACCGATACATTATAAATAATCGGGAAATTAGTAACACGCCTCAAATCCGAGCCGCTCTCTTGGCTCGGACATAAAGTTTTTTAAATATGTGGCGCATTTGATTTATCGTCACCCCCTTCTAATGTTTGTGTGTTTTGTATGTGGGTTTTTCCCCACATGCAGAGATGTTAGATGGTGACAGTACAGACCGGCTGTGGGTGAGGTCTGAAGTGGCCTGCGTGGTTGACATTTATTTGCTTTTAAGTATTTGTGATCATATTGGTGAGTTGTTTCAAATGCTAACATCTAAATGTATATATAATTCAACACTGTGTACATGCACAACATGTATTTTATTATACAACACATGTACAGTGTTTCTCAACTCCTTAATCTGTGTCCTGCCTGTGATAATTCAGCACAACCAGCAGAGGGAAGCAAGATCCATCCATCCAGTATCGTTACCGCGTATTCCCAGGGAAGCGACGTTATTGTCCAAAAGGTGGATGAAAAGGCAAATTAAATAATATTATTTCATGATGAATGCCATCTATTTGGATTTTAAGCACACCATCCGAGAAATGATGATTTGTGAGCTCTGACATGTGAGACATGTTGTTTTTTTGAGCATCTGTACAATAAAGAAAACCTTTTTTCATATAAGGCTACAGCAAATGTGTAAATCCTGTAAATCGTCCAACGCGGGTTGCTAAACAATGGCCGCCAAAGCTTAATAATAGACCATGACCTTTGAGAGGCGCTCTGTGAGCAGAAGTGTTGAAGTGTGAAGTAGTAAGGTATCAGGAAATAGTCAAATGATTTATAATCAAATTTCTGTTCTGACAGAATAAGTCCAGTATAATTATAGCAAACAGTGCAGTATTAAACAGATCTAAAACTTGATATTTAAAAAAATATATTGATGTTAGAAGATTTTGAAATGACTTTAATTAAGATAGATTGAGATAAAATAAACACATGGCACAGAACACCATGTAATTACTCATAAACTAAAGAAAATGCAAAAGATTCTTGTGGAAAAACTTAAAAAGTCTACTAAAAAAATAGAAGGGGGAATAAGCGATAATGGATGGAAAACACAGATTATATTCTATACTGTCTGGTATAGTGGTTATGAAATTTCAAATGAATTAAATGAACATTAAATATTAATTCTCCACAGTCTTTGTCTATGTCTTATCTCAATAGTCTTGTGTTAACACGTATTTGCACATGGCTGCCTTACACTTTCTTGAAGTTTATTGAAATGATGAAGGTCAATTTAACTTTTTATGAACTTTTCAGGCATTTTTTACATAGTTTTTGCTCAATGAATTATAACATGTGGCTGTTTTTCTTCATCAAAGTTTCCACATTTACCAGATTTGCTAGGAGCTGGCTGGGACCAGACTTTGCTTTGTTGTGTTCTTTTGAGAAAACGGTCAAACTGTAAGAGAGGCTGTTTTTCACATTGTTATATACAAGAACCACTGAGACAAGCGGGGCAGATGGGAGCCGACGGACCGTTAGCTCATCTGCAGAGGGGCAGGTAGACAGACTGAAACACTGAAAGCAGTCGTGCAGATGGAAAAGCGGGAGAGTCAAACAATGCCTCAAACTGCTGTACGTATTACAAAAGATTTTGATTTTCACTAACAATGACGCATTGAACCAGACAAAAGCGTTGGAAACAGTTTAATGAAAGAGGGGTATTTGGCATAATTGTGCTGAAATCGTTCCAAAAGTGTTAAAAAGCAAAATCAAACAACATGATATTAGAAAATGCACAACAAATATTAATCAATACTATTGAGTAATGCTCTGTTTTGTAAAGCACTCATTTCTCTTCTGGGCGATCAGTGTTGTCCTGCTACAATTAAATGATTAACAACTGCAATACGTCCAGTCTGCAACAAACAGGTCAGGGTCAGTGAGGGGGCCGGGGCCGGGTCCACTGGAAACTGGAAATCCCCCTTTGAAGGAAATAATTGCTGTCTGTTTTTTTTGTGATTTTTTTTCCTGATGAGCTTGCTGGAATGCATGTGCCAAAGTTTCAAATTGTTCTTGTTCAAGTTGGTTATCTTCTGATTAACTTGATTTTGCTTAAACAGGGACAAAGGTAAGTATGCACATACATGTACAATTTAGATTATATTAAAGAATAGTTTTTATATCAATAATGCCATATCACTCACAGAAAATTAATGTAAAAACATTACACTTGAACCATTTAACTGCGTACACCTCTTGTGAGAATATGAAAATCATTCTTTTGAGTAGATAGTTGTGTCCCATTGTCTTACATGGAAATGACAGATGTTTTTCCACCTCCATTTACATTTGTGTGGGTGGATAAAAGGTCACTGCCTCTGTTAATGAGATCTGAGTGTCATTGTTGTTTTCATCTTTTTTTTTTCTACTGCCAGAGCAAGGAGAAATGGAACCATGACAGGGTTTAATTGTCACGTCTTCACGTCACATAATTGGCAGAAATAAAATAAATGAGGTTCTGCTTCGTGAACCTTATTTATCTTTTAGTAAAACAAAGAAAATACCATTCAGTTGTACCACAGTACCTCTGAAGAATAAGATTATTGGGTATATTTAAGTATGTTTTGTTGGGTTTGACAAATCTAAGTGATTTTGGTTAATTTTACACTCCAAGCCAAAAATACCTGTACATATGTGAAAATAAAACAATAATATCCATAAGCACTTTGAAAACACAAATAAACGTGCAACTGGTCTGAAAAAAACATTTGTATTTGTATTTGTTTTTTAAACATTTATTTGAATAAAACTTCTATAGTTGAGATTTCACTGACATTTATAAATTGCTCCAAATTTCAAACTGTTACCACTTTATGTAGCTGCTTGCTTTAAAGTTTCATCTTAAAAAAAACAAAAAAAACCCATTAACACTACCTCTACCCGTCTGAAGTAGGCTGTCTGAGTATCCAGGTCACATTCCTCAGACCTCAGATTTGGGGGTCAGTGATGATAGCTCAGCCTCCATAATCCGCATTTACAGTTTAACCCGCCCCCTTGCGTCAGTTGATTGACAGCCGGCTTCTCCAATCACACGGCATCTGGCTCCGTGGCCTCGTTACGCGTCTCGTCCTCCCGGTCCGTGAGAGTTTGTGACTCTCCTGCCCCGGGAGTCCGTCCGTAGCCTCTTCGGTATACCGAAGAACAACACGTTGAAGACCCAGCCATGGAAGACGACAATATAATCATGCCTTTTTGACTTGAGGATATCTTTCAAGGTTAGTTTGCTCTACGTGGCGGGATTTAAACCGGTGAGGGGGGATTTTTGGCGTGCGCGGGGGGCTGAAAACTTTATCCGCTTCACTACACCGGACGGGAGGGAGGGAACTGAGGTGAACGTACTCCAGTGTGGCTCACTGGAGCGAAATGTTATGATGCTAGCTTGAATGTCGAACCGTCTCTATCTAATAATTCGGCATTCAATTGTAAATAATACACATAGTTTATTGTGTGAATAAGTTGTACATTTTGGTTTATATTGTGAATTCGAATTTTATTCAAAACATAAAAAATGTGCGTTTTGGCTAAATTGGGAGAAAACTGGATAAGTGGGAGAAAAACGAGCGTAATTGAATGTATCATATATATACATATATATTCAATGATAGGTGTGTGTATGTGTATATATGTGGGTTTAAAAAAACATATATATACATGATGCTGCCAGGATAACAATGTCCTATAAGCTCAACATTCCTCTTTGTTGTTCCAACTTTCATAAACGTGTTCTGCTTCCAACTCTACAGATACTCTCTTGGCAGAGTTTAAATGAAATGCTGAAAAGCACTTGTTGACGGGATAAACAACATTAGTCTTCTTCCTGCTCTTTCGTGTATATTTGTTTGCTCGATTGTAGTTTCCTGCATGGTTCCAGTTCCAAGTCCATGGAGTCTGTGCATAATTAGAAACAAATACTGAAAGGCAGACAGGGCTGAGGCGGAGACAGAGGGACGGGGTCTCACTGCAGATGTGCATTCCTTTAACCAGTGGAGTGATGAAGCCTTTAAATAGAGCCGAGCAGGAATGCAAACAGACCCAACAGAGAGATGAAGCCTGGGGGCGTCTGAGGAGCAAAAGCAGGGAGTTTAGGGGTATAAGGAATCGGAGAAACGAAGCTGAAAGCCATTTTACTAAGAAACAAAAGGACTAAACGATGTTTCTTTTGCCAGAGAACCTGCCCTTATTAAAAGTAGAATGTAGGTCAAAGTTCACATGGTGGTGCCCCTCCTCTTTAATGTATGTGTATCAAAAAAAGTTCACATTCTGCTGTTAAGAAGGACAATATCAACATGGATTTCTCTCAGCTGCAGAATTAGCTCGCAAATCTTTTCATATTCTATAAGCGTGATCTCTTTTTTTTCATAAAGTGAGCCTGTGACGTCTCAGAGAATTGGCAACAATGGCAGACAGAATTTGGCACAGCCTTCTTTACCAAAGATGACCACTCTAAAAAATGTGTTATAATTTGCGGCCAGTTGTCAGGAAAGCTGAGTTAGTGACATTTATTCTAACTAAGAACAAATGGGATGCTTAGCGAAATGGGGAAGAGGGAGATTGTTACTTGTGCATTTGCTGTAAGTGCACATTTAGTGTGTTTGGAGTGAAGAAAACACCAAACTTCAGGCTGGTTTTGGTAGCTTTTTATCATCATCATCATTATTTACTGCTGTTGCAGAAAAATGAATTGTCATTAGTGGTTACTCCAAAGAAGAAACAAAATCATATGAGGTGGGTGTAGTTTGTTGGCGCTGAGCTGACCAATGGGAGCCCGTTTTCCGTGCTGCACTTCCATAGTGCATCAAGAAGGGGCTGAAGATCAAACACAAAAAAAACCAAAATAAAAAAAACAGCCTGCAATGTTAATTTATTCCAGACTTTCAGTGGTCCCCTCTTTGAGTCTCCCCTCCATGGCTTTGAAATTAATTAGTCTTTTTCCCTTTTGCAGTGTGAACTGTCTAACTAAGTCTTGGCTTGCCTTGGCTAAAGCCACTTGGTTGTTATTTTGAAGAGAAGCCTAACACCTGGCCACACCTGGCTTTGTGCTGAGAACAATAGCAGGTTCTAGATTACAAGTCAGGAAGTTAGTGTGTTCAGGCTCAATATCAGCAGGTCCTCTCTTTGGACCACTTCACCATGAATGAATTAAAGGTACACGGTTTTGAAAGAGTGAGAGACACCAAACACCTTGCTGTTTACTGCTCGGAGGTTTAGTCGGCCCACTGTCCAAAGACCTCTGTCCTTATTAGAGGAAAACCTGAGTATATTTATACCCTACTAACACCATGACTAAAAAAGTTCTAAATAGCAGGAACAAATGTGCTTTTTAGACTTCAGCCACATCCCAAAAAAGAAAGAAAGGGAAATCCATGGTGCTCTGTTTTCACACAGGAGTGAAATGCCTTATTTCAAGCTACAGCCTTTTGTCAGGAACTACAGTGGAAATCACAAAAAGTTGTGCACTTAGGCTTTAAAGGTAGATTTTCTTTGTTTTAGGTTAGGTTTTGGTTTATATTATTTAATATATTGACGGAAGTGATTGTTTTTGTCACAACTTTTGTCAACTTTTGAGTTTAAACCTACCTGTCAGAACACAGACAACAACAGAACTCCCTGTACTTGGGAGTTGCAGAACCTTTCTAGCTAACTTCTTTCATAGGGGCACTTTTCCTGCATTTGAGGAGCACATTTTCAAAGTAGTTCGATTGAGACGGCAAGAGGACTTTAAATCAATCTTATCCAACTTTAACTAGGCAAAATCCTGAGCAGCTCAGTTCAGTTAAACTCGAATTCCGACATCCTATTCTTGATTAAGAGCGGTGCTGTTATTAATTTTGCCTTTCGCTTTGCCTGAATCCCCTGCAGACTGCTCTCAATCCCTGCTCCAGCTCCAGCCAAAAACCACATGCGTGCACACAAAAACGCACTGGCTCCACAGAGATTTTGACACAGACTCTCTCTTCCACACACACACACACACACACACTCACACACACGCATGCATGTATAGACACAACTGAGACAGTCCAATGCCTGTGTGCGAGCACACTCTCATAATCAAATGCACACTGAGTCAAACGACGTCCAAGCCTCCATACTCTTCTCCACACTCATATTTCAGCAGTCACTCGCAAAGGGCCCACAGCAATCAACTTTAAATTAGAGAGAGCTGCTCCAAGAACTCGGGAGCAGCTTGCCAGCTCTGAGGCCATACTGTTCTTAGTGTGTATGTGAGAAATGGAGAGAGCCAGTTGTTGATGTTAAACCAACTTTGAGGGGCCTTGATGGGGATAGTAGCGATGCTTTGTCTTGCTCTCTCGTTCTTACCCGGAGCCCTGTTAAGTTGTACAGTAAAACAAGCCTGTTTTTCATTTCTCTATTTATGACAGTCTGTAGTTTGCTCTAAACCACAACTTGGAACCACTTATGTGCTTTTTGGTCAGGTAGCTTGAAGTTGTAGCACCTAGATGAGGCACGGTGGCAGTAAGAAGGTTGTAGGCTTTTTCTAGCCCGTCCACCCCGGTGCTATAAAGATATTGTAGTTAGGTTGCCACAACATGAGCTGTGGGGTGCAAGACTACAGGAGGATATAGTTTCAAACTACACATGTGATTGGTTTATTATAAACAGGACTGTCTTTAGTGTTTTGTGGCCATGGATTGACATATCTGAATGTTTAGTTAAGCTCCATGAACTGTGTTAGAACGATGTACTTTACCCCATATAAACATTATATTTAGCATGTACCTTTCCACAAAGAACTTAACCTTTTTAAAAACATTTTTGCGTTTTATGTGAGAATGCATTTTGTCCAACATAATGTTTCTGTTGTAAACAGGAGTACATTAGGAGATGCCCTGGTTTTTAAATAGCTTTGCCCCGTCTACTTGCTCATTTTCTGTACATAGTCTTTTGTGAAAGATGAGTGAAAACAGTGTGTTTTCTACCACCTAGAGTTAGACATGCAATTCTCAGCACAGTTAGGGATGAACATCAGGTTATTTGTTCAAGGTGGGATATCAGAAAAAAAGTTGTGAAGGATTTGCTGCTCACTTTTGACATGTTTTGCTGCATTTCACCCAGTTAAGGCAGCATCTTTAAGTTTTGCTTTAAAAGCTGCAACTCTCCCGCAAGCTGCTCTGTTGACTTAGAAAATAAAGCTAACTGGGCATATTATTTGAGCTTGGCAGGGTGTTGCTCTGGGCTGGAGAAACACTCTATTGATTGCTTTGATATAAAATTCACCTCCACCTCATTCCAAACCAGCGCGCCGTGCACAGTGGATTGATTTTCAGGTCGCTGTGGTGAAAACCCACCAGACGTTTGGCTTGTCCGTATTTACTCCCACCCTGCAGGTGTTCGTATTTATCATTACTGCCATCTCAAAAATCCTCTGTTTCAGAAATTGCTGCTCGCCATGCTGTTAAAGAGATTTTAGCTGTGCACATAGATCCAGATTGGCTTTGCTCTGCCAGAGGAGGAAACAGAGAATCGATCATATTTTTTACTTTTTATACAATAATGAGCGTAATGGAGCTGCTTTATATCTGTTTCTGTTGCAAGTGAATTACAAGTCTGTTCAGTAAGGAGCTTACAGGCTGGAAATGAAGTCTTTCAGGTGAATGGAGTCCTAACGCAGTTTCTACCTCACCGTGGTGTTATTTTGGAACCAGTCATTGGTAATCCCTTGAGCTTGGCTTGCAGTGCTCGTTTCCAAGGTCTTGACAACTGTAGAGCTGGCTGTGATCCAAATAAACAAAGCTGGACCTTGGACCCTGCAGATCTCTCGGCATTGGAGGTTCAACAGAAACTCAAATATTTCATAAATGTTTGAGGGCTGTAACAACAGGACTAGAACAGTCTGTTTTGAATATTCAAACCTTTTAGGGAAGCATCCCCTTTATGTATCTGGGATGATGCTGCTGTGTGGATCTCCCCGTGCTTTGAATGTGGCATTTCCTACTATTGACAGTATGTGGGGATCATTTCCTGGATGTTTTAGGTGTTGCATTTGTTTCCTCTTAATCAATAGCTAAATGTTATTGTAGCAGCAGTTCTCCTAAAACATTTTGATTCATACTTGGCACAGTCAAATCTCTGTTTCTTAAGTTTATAAAAACCCTTCAGGTTTGTTTAGACCTCGAGCCAATCTTGCGTCAGTGTGCAGGTTTAAGATTGTTGTGCCTTTTATGCCAGTATTTATACAGACGTCTATGGGAAA